TAGAAATGTTATAATAATAATAATAATAATAATCCTGAATTAATTTGCTTGTACTTATATTTGTTTATGATTAGTATACATTCCTGATCAATTCCCCAACACTGAAAGATGAAATACAAACCTGGAAGTTTGCAATGATGCAAAGTCCAAAGCAGCTAATCAGTCCTAGCACAAAACCAATCTTATTTAACCGGAGGATCTTGTGATCTTCAGGATTCAAAGCACTGACTTGTTTGTAGCGGACATACATGGTAGCTATACCTGTGAAGGAACATTTTCAATCAAGTGAGGATGCAGTACAAGAACCTGCAATTCAATTACAAAAATCATAGAAGCAAAGGGTATGTTACAACCATTTAAATAGCTGTCAAATACTCAACACAGAATGAAGGGAATTAGACATAAAGGCTGCATGTTGTGATGAACTGATATTCCTCCACTGATGGAAACTCTGATCCATCAGGAGTGTCCATCAGCTGAACAGAGAGGGATCCTTTTTTTTTTTATAATGATTCCCCCTACTTCCTGAAGGGCACTGTGCCCTTCATACAGAAGTCTGGGGCAGAGTGCAGGAGGAATAATGTGCAAAGTAGCAGAGGGAGCTTCAGGGATGAGGGGGTAATTGACAAAAATCACGACCCATACTCTACTGATGGTACCCTCTGCTGAATCAAAGAGTATTCCATTAGTGGAGTGATACCTTTGAATGCAACAATGTCTCTGTTGATCTGAGATCTGATGAGTATTTACTTGCAAGAAATATATACCACGATACAGGCAGGTTTATTCTGAAATAACTAATATTCAATTACTATCCTGCCACCTAAATGTCTCACTGTAATCATCAGACTCTGCCAATGATATCCTCCTCTCCATTCCATCAGAGCATCACTTTCCCATCAAGAGGGTATTTCAATGGCTACTCCATTCTGAGAGTGATGGAATTTGTTTCCTCTGGAGCCTCAGGAAGACCCAAGTCCACACATCTGCCAGAAGATCAGTACCGTTTTTTTCCTGTACTTACCCAAAAGAGCAGCAATGTTTAACATTATCCCAAACAAACAACTTTCAGGAGGTGTTGTCCCTGTATCACTGAAAGAAAAGCAACATATGATATGGTACTTCTTGTGACGCATCTCAGTTTCTAAAACTCATTAAATGAACAATTAAAAATGGAAGACATCTAGATGTGTAAATACCCATGTTGGTATCAGTGAGTTTGCTGGATGGAAATACAGCCATTGAAATGGAAGCAATGAATCCAGGAAGCACACCCACACACAAAATATGGGAACCAGAAATGCTATTATTTCAGAATGTATTGAAGAAACTTTTAATCCTGTGTGCTCTCCGGGACTGCTAAAGCCGTATAAAGATTGGGACCAGGGTATCTCAAGGACTCTCTCCTCTCATATACACCCTCCGGTTCAGTGGGATCATAGACTGGGGAGGCTCTTCTTCAGGTGCCACCACTTTCTGAGGTTAGGCAGATAGAGTCTGGCAATCTAACATGCTTCACAGTAGAAACTCAACCTGGGCGATGCCACCTCCCAGACTGTTGAGTCTGAAGCTTATGAGTTTCAGGTAACAAATAAAAATATTTTTATTCACCAGAGTCCTTGATGAAAAGTTTTACTTCTGCTGGGTGCTTTTATTACTGCTTACTCTTCCTTTAAAAATGAAGTTTTTAGGTGGGGGGTTTACGGGGTGGGATGATATGTTTGTTTTGAATCATCTTTTGTTGTAATCTGTCTTTAAAATGTCTCATGGCAAGGGGTGCTGGGAATTAAAAAGCAACATTTTTTTCTTTACACGCATTTGTAGCACAAAATGTAAAATCTAGACTGGCTGCAAAAATGTCATTTCTCTCCTGTGTTCTGTACTGTATGAACAACACTCAGATGTGAAACTTGGTACAAGAGAGATTTTTCATCCTTTTTGTGTAACTGTGTAAAATGTTACATAAGATTCTCCACCGTGACACTACTTTGTCATTCCTCCACCACTCCCAATCAGGCTATATTATTTATTTAATTCTGCATACTCTGCCTTGTTTCATGCAAGGAACCTAATGCAGTTTACACAATTCTCCTCCTCCTCTCTATTGATCCTCACAACAACCCTGTGAGGTAGGTTAGCCTGAGAGTCAGCAACAAGTCAAAAGTCACTCAGTGAACTTCTCTGGACCTAGAATCTAGATCTCTTGATTCCCATTCCAGATTCTAAACACTGTATCACACAAAACATCACACAATAATTTTATGATAGCCATTCATTCATTGATTCATTCAAATTATTTATTAGTTGCTTTTCAGGGCCAAATATAAATATAATACCCAGAATGAAAGAAACTGTGATACATTAGGCAGAATATCTAAGCAGGGGTTGGAAAAAGCTAAATAGGTGTGTGAGAGTAACTCCTTTATATTACACAAATTAAATTAAGGAAAAAGATGTGAGCCTTCTTGAATTCCAGAAGCAAGGATTCATAAAGGCATTAAGCATAGAAGAGGATTGCACAATTACAGGACCACTGCTAAGAAAGCTCTGTCTCATGTGCTTTCAACCAAACAAATTTCACTGGTGGGCATACAAGCAGGACCTCCCACCTAGGCATTCAATTATGGACAGAGTCATAAGAGTGAAGGCAGTCCTTAGGATAAGCAAGCCTCCAACTGTTTAAGACTTAATGTAGCTGGGAAATCTGTGACTCTCTAGATTATACTGTATTCCAACTCCCATCATCCCCAACCATCAAGACCAATGATCAGTGCTGACAGAGTTGGATTCTAACATTTCTGGGGGGGGGGGTCATGAGTATCCTACCCCTTTCTTAAAAGTTAATATTTATTTAAACATTTAAATATTACCCCTTTTAATGAAACATCCCAAGAAATGCACCAAGACAAATGCACTGAAGTATATATGAATCAGTAAATAATCTAAAATAATTAACATTAAAACAATAAATCATTAAAATCGTACAAGAACAACCATACTAGCACTTCAAATGTAGCCCAGAAACCAGTGCAACTGCTGCAATAGCTTCCGCTGTTGGGTGCTAAAGAAAAATAACAAATAAATAAAGGGTGGTATTCCACGTTCAGGCTTTCTGCCCCCTATTAGCATTGGGCAGGTACATTTTGCCCCAACAGAAGCTTCTGAGGTATCCCAGCACAAGCCACATGACAGTGATCTGGAAATAATTAGAGCATGGGTAGTGAAGGCCAGGTCCTTCTGGGCTGCAGCCACGATATAAGCCTGAGCTGCTATAAGGCACTTCTGCCCACTCACATTGTGTACAAATTTGTGCAGGAACCTCAAATTTGTGGAGACTGGATATACTTTCAGAATACTTTCTGTCTTTGTAAAAAGGTGCATGCAGATCCATCCCAATAGCTGCAAATTCATCCAACGTGACAAACCACCATGGGTAAAACAAACCTTAAACAAGCCATGCATGGTCAGGGTGGCTTGCTGTCCACAAACAAGCTACCCTGCAGGAAACAGTCCAGGTTTGCACAACATGACAAACCACCATGGTCTGCCATCCCCAATGGGTTTTGCATGAACCCAGTGAAGTCTGACATTCTACTTTATAAAATCTTAAAACCATAAGATGTCACAACTTTTAATTTGCATTAATACAGCTTTTAAAAAGGGGGTTGGGGAAGGCTTTTCTAGGGAGTTACATTGCAGAACAGGTAAGAGTATAATAGTAAAAGATCTACTGACCTGATGTAGGGCACCAAAGGGTCAACATGCCGGAGGAGAACTGCAGCAGTATATGAAAACAACAAAGAAGCAGCTGACCAAATTACGAGGGCTGAAGGCAAGATACTTAGGCCTTGCTGAAACCACCACATATCAAAAGACTATCCCAGATTCAAATGCTGTGAAAAATAAACCAATGTACCAGTAATTAGAAGCATCATTTCTTTTCCCTCTTTCCTTGAAAGAAAACAATTCATTTAGTGTGCAAGTCTTCTTACTTGGTGTTTAGAAATGTAACCAGGCAAATCTTTCACTGAATTAGGGCTTGGTCAGGAAAGACTGGATTCAGTTTCATCTTCTCTGTTACAATTCCTGGTCAAATAAGAAACAGAAAGTTACTGCACTATAGAAGTCAAGATAAACTGGAAAAGAGAAAGCGATTTCAGGCATTTTGTGTGTTATGCATATGCATACAAGGAATCTAAGCAACCATGTTGCTGTGCCTGCCTTACTTTCATCTCTCAATAGGGATATCAAAATCCTAACTGTGTATAAGATTCTGTAGGACGGAATGCCATGTACAAGGGTTAGAGAAAGAGCACCTTAGTAATCTTTTTTTCATTTATAGCGTTCTTATCCCACAGTATCCCATAATCTCTCATATTACCTATTTGCTCATTTATTTATTTATTTATTTATTTGAAATTTGCTCCTAATGTATCTTTTATTGTTTCGATTTCTTTTTCTCTTTTTTTGCTTAAAGACGGTTAATACAACACAATGGTTAAACAAAAAGCTTTTGAATATTAAAAGTACAATTATCTTGTACAACCAATTGCTGTAACACCCAGCTCACAATCAAAAGTAGAATACTATTGATAACTTTGATCCTACCCAAGGAAAAAATTCTAGGAAGTAAAAGGCACTCAGGACTTCACAAAAGGCAGAATCACTCCCTTTCTCTCTCTTGTTCTCTTTCTGCTGCCACCTTTCACTGGACTCCCTGTTCACTCCTGCAAAGTAGCAGCTCCAAGGGGCTTCTCTGACTCTTTATTTGCTGGTCATCCACCCCACAATGCTGGCCTACCAGACAGTTGGCATGGACCCCATCCCTGACCCTGAGCAAGGTGGCACTGGCAGTTTTTGCCCTTCCTTGTAAGATACATAAGCATCCTGTTTTATTTTCCCCACCTCTTCCTGTTCTCTCATCCCAGAACCCTTCTCAAGCACTTCCTTGTTCCAGGCAACCAGGGTTCTTTATTCAAAACACACTAATTCCTAACTATCCGTGTGCTACCTATCCTTTTGTCAGGCCAGTTAAAGGGCTCCCCACTGATAGTAAGGTCCTTGGTTCTGGAGTGAGATCAGAGGGAACAACACACTGGCTAAGGTGGCTCTGCAGCTGCTCTATGCGTATTCAAGTCACTCCATTGCATATGCTGGAGGGTGCCAGAGCGCCCAGGGCAAGCAGAAGGACCCCACAGGCCAGATTCAGTCCATGGGCAATCACCTCCTGCTGCAGGTTCCAGGCGTTCTCAGAAGATATGCAGAAAACCAGCTTAACTTGGTCAGCATTTCCAACTTCTAGCATGATCATCACCACATATATTGTTGAAGGCACCGTGTGACAGGGGTACAGTTCCCACTTGGATGGTCAGTTTTGGAAGATGGTGTTAGGGGGGTTATCATTCTACTTTTGGAAGTATTGGGATGGGATGCCACAGGATGCTATTTTATCTGCCATGTGGGTAATATCTACATGAAATTACAGGGATAAATTATGGACTGAGGTTGCATTAATAATACCCAGCTTTCTCTCACTCCCTTTAATCAAATACAAATGAGGTAGCAAGTAGTCTGGATCACAGCTTTGGTTGGTCATGGAATATATGGGGATCAATAAACTGGGACTCCACCCAGTGTAGTAGGTGATTCATCTGCCCAACTCTTCAACCTGTTGTAGGGAGGCTGCATTCCCTAGTAAAGAAGCAGGTAGGTAGCTGAGTAAGCATTATCTGGTAGCAAGATAGCCTTCCTAGCACTTTTATCAACTTATACCAACTACAATCCTATCTGGACAGAGACAGTCTAGCCACAATTACTCAAGTTCTGGTAATGTGTCATTTGGATTACTACAATGGATTATACATGGGGCTGCCTTTGAAAGTGGTCCAGAAACTTCAACTGGTCCAAATTTGGACAGTGAACAGGGACTAGTGGTATTACATTACATGTGTGCTTTGGGATTGACACCGGTTTGCAGTCTATTTCTGGGCCCAGTTCAAAGTGCTGCTATTAACCTGCAAAGTCCTAAACAACTTGGAGCCAGGTTATCTGATGAATTGTCTCTTCCCATGCACGCACACACACCTCTGCCAGAGGCCTTTCTCAGGATGCCCCCATCAAATGATACAGGTGGCTATGCAGGAAAGGTCTTTTCCAGTGCTGAAACTGCAGCTGTAGAAATCCTTCACCAGAAAGGTTCACCTGCACTGTGATCTTTTTGGCTCCAGGGTAGATGTTCATATATTCTCAGACTTTTTCATCGTTTAGTTAAAAAACAATACTGTATGCCCATGATTTTTAGATCCTTGGACTGCTGTTGGTTTTTAATCAATTACATTTTATTAATTTCTTACAATTTATGATGTTCTGCTTTATTTATGTTTTATGAACCATTAGAGAGCATGACTTGGCATAACTTGAACTGCAGTGACAGGTGCATCCTATGAAGCTACAGATCTCTACTCAGAAGTAAGCCCCATTGACTTCACTGGGACTTGCTCCAAAAAGTTTGGATAGGATTACAGTCTAATTAACCCTAAACCTACTTAATATTTTATTTTGTGCATTTCATAAAAATGCTGCAACAACTCCCAGAGACAAACCAACTCACTCTTCAGTGAACTAATCTGAATCTCTTTCACTGTACACCAGAACAAAATTAATGAGCAAATTCATTTATCCAAAATAGTTTAATTTTATTACCAAATGACTTGGTTACATTACAGCTAAGATACCAATTTAAATACATCTACCATTGCACTTTTATGTTCAATCTGATAATAGTTTGACTATTCTTTGATACCATGCATGGTATCAGAATCATAATACAACTGTCCTGAAATAGCTATGCTGATTGCAGTTGCTTTCTGGGCCAGTTCAAGATGTTAGTTTTAAACTTTAAATTTTTAGGTGGCTTGGAACTTTGCCATCTAAGAGACTACTTTCCTCATAACGAACCTGTCCATTTAGCAAAACATTCAGGAAAGGCACACAAGGACACCATTACTTGCAGAGGAATTGTTAGGTATGCATGAACAGGTGTTTTCCTGTGTCTTTCCCAAAAAGTTATAACTGGCTCTCACTCTTAGCTTTTAGAAAGGGTGTGAAGATGGCTCTTATAAAAGAGCTTATAAAGTGCTTTTGGGCACAATCCTATCATTTGCATCCTCAGTGCCCATATCAGAGGCTTATGAGTATCCAGTGCAGAATGGATGGCAGAAACAACCCCCCACCTTCCTGTACCTCCTGCTCTGCATTTTAGCTTCAGGGAGGAAAAGGCTGGAGTCCACATTGAATACATACCACCCTGAGACACAGTGAGGGGTGGGATAAAAAACTTTACATACATACATACATACATCCTATCCTGAGAGGTCATCAGGAGGTGTGGGCTGCGGAATCATCAATACGCTGATGATACCCAGCTTTACCTCTTGTTTTCCACTAATCCAGGTGAGGCAGTGGCTGTGCTGAACCAGTGCTTGGCCGAGGTAAGGGAATGGATGAGGGCAAATAAACTGAAACTCAACCCAGACAAGACGGAGGTCCTGTTGGTTGGCGGATCGGGTTTCGGAGAGGGTGGATTTGACCTGGTCCTGAATGGTGCAACACTCCCTCTTAGGGATAAGGTCCGCAGCTTAGGAGTACTCCTCGACCCAGAGCTTTCTTTGGAAGCTCAGGTGACAGCGGTGGCGAGGAATGCCTTCCTTCAGCTTCGGCTGATTAATCAGCTGCACCCCTACCTGGAGTACGACTGCCTGGCGACGGTGACACACGCGCTGGTGACTTCCCGCCTAGACTTCTGTAACGCGCTTTATGTGGGGCTTCCCCTGAAGACAGTCCGAACACTTCAATTGGTGCAAAATAGAGCTGCCAGGTTGCTGACGGGGACGGGGCGTTATGCTCACATGACTCCAGTCCTCCGTCAGCTTCACTGGCTTCCCATTGAAGCCCGGGCCCAATTCAAGGTGTTGATTATGACCTATAAAGCCCTAAACGGCTTGGGTCCTGGCTACCTGAACGAGCGCTTATGTCCGTACATGCCCGACCGCCCTTTGAGATCTGCGGGAGAGTCTCTTCTCCGGGAACGCTCCATGAAAGAAATTAGGAGAGTAAGTACTCGGAGGAGGGCTTTCTCTGCGGTGGCACCCAACCTATGGAATTCACTCCCCAAAGAGGTCCGCCTGGCACCGTCGTTACTGGTTTTTCGGCGCCAGGTAAAGACCTTTTTATTTAAACATCATTTTAATTGTTAAAACATATGATCTGGCCAGGGCAACTTCTTCTTCCTTCTCTTTCTCCTCCTATATTTTTATTTACTTAATTTATACTGATAATTTTAATCTTATATTTGTAAATCAATATATTTTTTGTATTTTGTAATTAATGGTAATTTATTATGTGCTATTGTATTTCATTGAATTTTATCGTGTTGTAAGCCGCCCCGAGGTTTCGGCAAGGGGCGGCATAGAAATGTTAATAATAATAATAATAATAATAATAATAATAATCATCCTGGTGGCACCCATCTCCTCCCTGTCCCTTGCCCTGGAATGCCTCCCTTTACCCCTCTGCAAGGGTGCTCTCCAGTATGGCTTGGTCTGTTCTGGCTGCAAGTGGTGTTGCAGGCATTGGATCTGACCTTAAATCTGAGAAAGCAAAGTATTCCATGGCTTCCAAGATGATATCTAGGGGTTACAAGATTGCTCCCTTACTGCTTTAAATGCTTTTTTATTTTTGTTTATGGGTTTTAGTGTTTTAAACGATTTTGTACCATTTGGATGTCTTTTTAGCAAGCTAGGCAGTATATAAATGTTCATAAACAAACACAAATTAAAAAGAAATATTTAAAATATTCTTTATTAGTAGTAAAAATGTTTCTGCCATTTCCACATTTTAACCAGATGTTGTTAGCTATTTTTTCCATTTCTTTATCAAGATGTTGACCAAGTATCTATTCATTCATTGACACAACTAAGCAAGGCATAAAGCACATAGAAAATAGATGTACACATCAATTGTAAATGCCTTCTTTCCAATAATGATGCTTATATAGGATTGAGAACTTTCAGACAAGGATTTTATGGTGTCATCACTACCTTATTCATGGAAATTTAAATGGGGGGGGGGATTCAGATGACAATGCCTTCCATTTGTACCCCTTCTGCATTTTTCCACCACTTCTTCCATCTTTTTTCCTTACAGCAGTAAATCTGTTAAGTGTTAAAAGATGGAAGACTGCATGATGTCTAGGCCTCCACATGTGGAAGCATCTGAGCTTCAAGTTGAGCTAGGACTGTACAGTGGAGCACAGAGATACTGTATTAGCCTGTAAATAGAGAACAGACATGGATTCTTTCTAAGTATAGTCATCTGACCACAAACCCGAGGCTAGAAATTAGGAAGCACAAACATATTAATGGGGCTAAATAAATACAGAGGCATCCGGAAAACAAAACTTTCCACATCCCAATTTCAAGGAGCGGGCGGGTCATTTCTCAAACTGGACCAAACCCAAATGTTGCATAAACAAATAATCTACTCCCCCGCAAAAAACCTTGAGATCAGGAAGTTCCTGTGCCTGGTTCTAGAACAAAAGATCCTTATGTCATCTCTTCTGAAAAGCAAAAAGTAACAGTGATAGCTGCCTCTTTCCGCCATCAACCCGGCAGATCTTTGTGCCTTTTTAACCGATGCACAACAGTTAGAAATTTCAGAGGAAAGCATCTTCCTCCGCAGCGTTCTGGAGATTAAAGTAAACAAGCCCGTTTACTTGTCGCCTGCCGGACTCAGAGTCTCTACCTAAAGGCAAACAAGGGCGTTAGTCCCTGGCACTGACAAGTTCCAGTGCTAGATGAGCGGTTTCCATATGCGATCCCTTTTCCCGGGAGCGAGACGGGAAGGAAGGTTTGCCTCCTCTTCCCTCCTGATGTGCACCTGATATGGCCTGGTCCCCTCCTACCAGTAAAGTACACAGTGATATTTGATCCACCCAGGCAAGGTTAAAGGAAGGTGTTATTTACCGTCTCCTCGCCGCCGCTGCCTCGCATCTCCACGGCCACTCGGGCCACGATCGCCTTGTTCTTCGCGGGAGGATGCGAGAACAAAAACGACCTCCAGGCTGGCGGGCGAGCGGGTAGGCGGGCGAGCGAGAGAGCGCTCACAGCCGTCGCCTCCTCCCTCCTCCCTCTCCTTCACACGGCCAAGACCCGCCTCCCGCGCGCGCTCCCGGCCCTGTTAGAAGTCTTTCCCAGTCGCGCGCCCTCCCTAAGCAACCATAGCTTGGCCTTGTTTACGGCAGCCGCAAAAGGGACGTGAAAGCGCCGCCTGGGCGAAGAGGCTGGTTGAGGTAAATGCCGGGTGTTTTCAGTGCTTTAGGGTGATGGGCTCTGTGGGGGGCGGATGCTGGCGTCGTGTCTCCCCCAGGTTTAGCAGGGGGCTGGCCGAAGCGAGTTTTCGCTTCACCCGCCTGCAGGGACCTTGGCGAGGGAGGGGCGGGGGTATTTTCTCTCGCGCGCCGATCCTGAGGGTTCCTGCGCAGGAGGCACGGGAGTGAGGGGCTTGGCGTGCGCTGCGTGGACCGAGAGTGCCCTTGGCCTTGGCTGTTCCCCGCCGGGGATGGCGCATGGCTCGTGGCGCCGGGCAGAGGGCTGCCGTAGTTAGCGCCCTGTCAGTCAGTCCTTGGAGCGATGTAATCGGAGTGGGAGATCTTTCAGTGCCAGGACATGTCAAAACAACCTTTACTCGCCTCACTCCGACGTACGCACATCACACGTCGGAATTTGTCTCCGGTACAGGTGTGTCAGGTTCAGGATAAGGGATGCTTACTCTTTATCTCTGGGATTTGAGTTGTATTGGGCTCTGCCTTGGAAAGACTCAGACTTTTGGGCCGTGTAATCCTGCACTGACTATCCTAAATAGCAGCAGTCCCTTCCAGGTTAGGCATAGGTCCACCTACTTTCTTTTAACCAGGGACATGACTTGCAACCTTGTGAACTGTTGTTGTTAATAAGTCATGAGTGTCCTCTTTTCTATGAGGACAGGTTGTCATAGTACTTCCAAAATATGCGCTATGGCACTCGGCTCCCTCGCCAATTGTGTTATTTTGTCATCTCTGGTCAACAGCAAGCACAGGCTTTCCTTACTGTGTTTCTGTAGCCTGTTTTCTACATGCTGATCGCTTGAGGGAGTGTAATAACGACTGCAACTAACTTTGGACTGCATCTTGGCACTGTACTTCTTCATGATTCCTTTTAGTGTGTGGCTGGTGATATGGTAATTCAGAGTGGGCACCACTTAATGGCAGAATTTAAATAGTCCTGAACTGGCAAACTGCTATTTACATTTCTGTTATAACAGATGCCAGGGAACTGTTATAAAATTGCAATGTTGTTAAACTGTAGAGTACAAGGAAAACTTTGAATATGTATCAAAATAATAATAGTTGCATTCATTTTGTATCCTTTGGGAGGCTTGAATAAAACTTCTGTTTTCTCTATCTATTTTCTATTCTTGGTTTGATCAACTGCATTAAAAATTATTTCTTCCTTTTCTTGGGTCTTTGATTGCTCTTTGTAAATTCTCATAATGCATTAGTTGAGTGCTTTCTGCTCGTATCAACATCAAGATACTAATAAAATGCTGTTTTTCATTCCGTAAAACACTGAGTTCATTTCCTAATGGAGACATTGGCATCTCCAAATTTCCTTGACTGAATAGAGACTATTAAAATTGTTCCCTCTTTGTTTATTCACTCTTGGGTAATTCATAATTCTGGCTTCATGGATCCTTTAGCTAATAGATACTAAGGGTGTTTTGGTAAGTGCTGAACCAGTACACTCACTCTTTGCTCAGCTCCTTTCATTATTGAAAATCAACATGAGGAACAGGATAGCCTGTTACAGTTCCTATGAAACAGTCTACATTTGAGTATCTCTTACTTTCTGAGGAATTAACATCACTGTGTTGTGCCAATCAAGAACTCCAGCTGCTTCATACACTGTGTGACACTCTGCAACTTTCCTGATCAGGCCTGTGGCTTTTAGAGAACTGATGTGAGAGCAGTGGGTATCCCATAAAAGACTCCTGCTGGATCAGACCTGCATCATATTTCCTCGAGTGGCCAGCCAGATACCTAAGAGAAGCTTAAAGGCAGGGTATGAGGGCAATAGCCTCTGCTCTGTTGTTTCCCTGGAACAAGCCTTCAATTCTGTATATAGCCTCATGAGCAGCATCCATTGATAGCTTTATTTTAATTTGTTGAATCCCCTCTTAGAAATATGCCACTGTGTGAGTATAAATATAGCATGGACCCTATTCTCAATATTATTGTACCACCAATTATGCTTTCCAGAGCAAGGTAAACAAAAGAGTTGAGATCCATTTCCACAGGGTTTACAGTCTAAATTTTGACTGTGAAGAAATCCATACATAGAGGATGAAATAGAATGAGAAGGATTACATGTTGGATGTGAGCAAATACATTTACTTCGGCTTTGTTCCAGCTAGGAAAAGAATCACAAAGTTAAATGAATAGGTTGGATCCTGACCGGCCTTCTTCACATAGAAAGCCTCCATCAGTGCATAGAGTGGGCCCAGCTGAAGGGATATAGGGGAAGTCTTTGCCAATTCATGGCCCTATCTCCTGTCTTATTTCACCTCTTCAGGACAACTTTTCAGGGGTCTACAGTAGGAAGGGGGAAATGATGAAGGTAAGTCCAGCAGAAGAGTCCTGTGGGTGGAACTCTGCCCTTAGGTTGGCTGGATCCAAGCTAATGCTTTACAGGAAAAATCCTTGTGCTATAGATTCTTTTGCATTTCTGAACTACATTAATTTTAATGGCCTATTATTCATGAATTCATGCAGCAATTCACTCAGGCCTTAGATGTGAGGATAGCAAAGGTGGTATAAATGTAAAACAAGGAAGTATAAGGACATAGTCTGAATTTCCAACAAATGAATTAAATAATTTAAACAAGCCATAGCCAGCATGTCCTTTTATATGTTTAATTTTTTAAACTGGTCAGTAGGAAGTACAATGTTTGTATGTATATAAAGGATCACTAAGTCCATCTGTTTTTCTTTAAAAATAAATAATGTAGTTTTTCCTAGAAGTGGATGGATCCCTTTTGTAGCATATATTTCTAATGGCACTAAATTAAAGTGTTACTTTTGGATCCATTTATTAGATCAGAAGATAATACTGCAACAGTTGCCATTGCGCTTCATGTTTAGCTGCTTAATATTAAGTGAACTCTTATCTTTTGTCCCTGATATGTCTGAACAGTGTTTGGTGTTTTAAGTAGGTTGAGCTTTCAAATATCACACTTTTGATTATTAAACTGTGAAACTTTAAGATAACTTTCTGTCACTTATGTTAATCTAAATATGTTATGTTTCAGATAGACCAGGATCTTATGATACTTTGTAGCAGTTAAATTCTGTCAGATACAAACTTCAAAGTGAACAAATCCATGAGTGGGAATCGATCCCTGAAGAAACGATGTGGGGAATTGCACCTGGAATCCCCTGTGCGCTATGGTCATGTTCCTTCTGCAGGATGTTCATTAAGCAAGTTGATTCAGTTACCTACACCGCCTTTGTCAAAACACCAGCTAAAGCGGTTAGAAGAACACAAGTATCAAAGTGCTGGACGGTCCCTGCTTGAGCCATTAATGCAAGGTTATTGGGAATGGTTAGTAAGAAGAGTACCAGCTTGGATTGCACCAAATCTGATTACAATAGTTGGACTGATAATAAACATCTGTACAACCATAATATTAGTGTGTTACTGTCCAACAGCTACAGAGCAGGTAAGGTAAAGATCTCTAACTGTATGGGGAAGAGATTGTGCTCTTATTAAGCAGCTCTGGGCTCTATTTTGCTTCTTTATGGTGTCCTTTGTCTAGAAATAATGAGTTTTATTTGTGTAAATTATGTGTTATATCAATATTTTAAAAACATGGTTATTCAAATAATGCCACTAATATGTTCAAAAACCTCTAGCACCATGAAATCTTTTGACTATAGAAAGTAAGAATGAGAGAAATCCTAGTTCTGAAACATATAACATTTGCAAGGGTAGATATATCAAACATTAAAATAGACAATAGCATGAAATATTATAAATATCCTCTCCTAGGTCAGAGCTAGCCTGCTTTCATCATCTGAAATCTGCAGATGTAAAATCTTTTAGATCATCTAGGGTAGTGAACAGGAAATAGAAACTGAATTGTTCTCTGGGCAGATGGAAAGCAGCTCTTAAATACTGGGGGTGGGAGTGCTGTTGCCAGAGGTCTGCAGTTAGAATGCTGTTCCAAGAAGCTCTTCTTCTTTAATATGACAAACTTTTGGTATCACATGACTTCACAATCTCATGTCTACATGCATCTGTACTGTTACAAGGTTTTACACCCAGTAAGCTCTAACCAACTCAGAACCTATTAGTGAAACTGTTTTATTGCCTTTATTTATTTAGTGCTTGATATCTTCTAATCAGGATTCCTGATTGCAGATGCACATCTGTATGTAGTAAGCAGGAAACTTATCTGTAAGTGATTGTGATTAGCCAAGAGAGCATGTTAAAATAGAAACTTGAGAATTGGGGGGAACTATTAAGTATTAGCTAGTTCAACTCCCTTGTCCCAATAGTGAGAAATTTCTCTGACAAGCTGTTTGTCAAGATTGAGGATCACATAACTTCTTAAAAACAGTTAATCTGATGACTGAGTTGATAGGAAGTTTTTCCATTATTTATTCAGATAATGGAAGCATATGCTAATGCTTCCACATGTCACATCACCGTTTGAATTTAGTTCAGAATGTACTGGAAGTCAGAGCTGCTGATAAAGCACCGGCATTACATGATCATATAGACTACTCCCAGTTAATAACCTAGCAGCATCGTTTTGAACTAACTGACGTTGCAGAATTGTCTTCAAAGTGGTCCCATATACAATGCATTTCAGTAACCCAGCTGGGAAGTTACAAGACTCTGGATAACTCTCTCCAACCTATATCTGTCCAGGTGGGATTGCTCCTACTAGCTTTAACTAGTAGGACAGTGTTTAACTAGGATAGTGATGGATCCAGGAGCACCCATCATCTTTCATGGGTTGCAACACCTTCCACGAGTTTAATCTTGTGCTATTTTATGTATTTAATAAAGTTGCTGTTGATTCCCTCCTAAAAATAATTAATGAAGGTATAGGGTAGTACTGGTCTTTGTAGAATCCCACTTAAAACTTTTAAATCCAAAATATCTGGAGAACACCAGGTTGGGGGAGGCTGCTTTAGGAAATAGTAACCTCTAGAGTATTAATGGGGATAGCATTTCAGGTCATACATTGGGCAACTAAAAAGATGCCATAGATTCATTTTTCGGCATTTTATAGGAATCTGGATATTTACAGCCATTACAGCAATTGTATTATCCTGATGTTAATAATAGTGGTATGTTTCTTACTACTGTAATATAGAACAGAATTTTCCAGCTTCATATGCTGCGCTTACCTTGAATTTCTACTTGTACCAGGCCTAACCACTATGGCCAATGACCTAGAATTCTGGGAGTTGTATTCCAAAACATTTACAGGGCTAATTCAGGATAAGTCATGCACTTTTGTCAGACTACAAATATAACTGCACAAGCTGGAAGTGTTTTTTAGATAACACACTATCTTGTACTTCTTGTATTCCTGCATACTTAAAATATTTCTTGGATATTTATCTATTCCACAATTGCTCCAAAAAGCACTGGATTGGTTGATTTATTGCAAATGTTTTCCTTGTCATTTCACAAATGCATAATTCAGTGCCACCTTCTAAATAATGTTCAGAAGGCTGCTTTACTGTAAACTAACTATTTCCAGGTAGTACAAGAGTCTAATATAGTACTTAGCAAACATGAACAGCAATCACGAGAAGCAATTTGACATATATTGGGTTACAGTGAAAATGCTGCCTCAGGTCTTTGAATAACTGTCTTTGGGCACACTAACAACCTTAGTTGTTCATATGTATATGTAAGAGAGGAAGATGATTTACTTAAGTTTTTTTTAAAAATGAAGTTTAAATAGAGTAGGATTAGAAAATTGGGTAATAGCCTTGAAGTTATAGTTAGAGATTATATTTATGGAGAAGTGTCATTAAAGGGCTATATACAATCATTAGTGAGAATATGTTATGCCAAACTGAATAAATCTTATCTATACAAAAAGGGAAAGAAAATATCCAGAGTACCAGGCCCATAACCTGGCAGTGGGCTGGGATGGGGTAATGTGCCTTCTTCAGATATTTTCTGGTCCCTCCTAAACATTCTGTAATCAAATAATTAAATTTTATTGTCGTTTTCAAAAACTTTCACAGAAAGTGACTTCTGTGAACAGTTCTATTTTTTAAGGAGGAGCATGTTGCAGGTTAAAACAATACCTATTGGTCCAGAGACAGATTGGACACTTGGTTATACATTCAAATAATTAATTTTTTTTCTGCACTTGAATTAATCTGCACATATTCCCCTTGTGAGAAATGTTGTCACCTGTAAACTGACACTATTGTATTGCTAGCTCAGTATTCTGATCAGTTTTCTTTTGTCTTTCTTACTGAACATATACTAAAAGGGCTAAGAAATAGCCCTTCACAGTGCCAGTTCTTGAGATGTTTCTAGTAATGCAGGAGTCCAACATGGCAAAGAGCAACTAACACACAGGACAAATAATAAAATAATGGGATATGGGGATTGTACATTTTATTTAATGAGTACTTCAAATAGGGATTACATTTTAATATCCTAGGAATTCAGAAGTTAACCTAATTCTAAACTTCATAAACGCTATGGCAAAGCTGTGCTAAGGGAAGATTTCTGAAAAATACATAACCTTCAGAATCTATGTGAAACTTAGAATTGGTTCCTGAATTTCCCTTGCAATTCCCTTTCCACTGGTATCCTACCTTTTAGATGATAAGTCTGAGGACAGGGACTGACTCATTAAACTCTGTGAGCTGCTTTTAGAGCATTTTTGGCTGAAAAGTGAAGTAAAATATTTACATAAATATATTACATAAACTGTAACACTGGGATATTGACAGTATAATTCTATGCATTTATTCAGCAGTGTGCCCAATGTGTTCAGTGAGATGTCCATACAACTAAGTACATTTAGGACTGGACCCTGAACATAGTTACTTGGGTTCCATTGAGTAAGTTCCATTGAATAGCATGATAATATAATGTATTGAATGCCATTGTAAAGGTATTTGGGTAAGTTGCTTCATAACTAAGCAAAATACCGCACCAGAGTAAAAATGAGGTATCAGCCAGCTTATACTATGCCACAGTCAGAAAAATAATGATCAGTGTATTTCTGATACTCCTGGAGGTAAATGATATGAAGAAGACAGAAAGAAAATATTGCAACTAGGTTTTATTGGTGTGTGTTCTTTGAAGCAGCATTCTTACTAATACTTTTACTATTTTCATTTCTGTATTTCTTTAGAAGCTCTTTGGGTGGTTTACAAAAGTACATAAAAACAACATAGTGAATAATACAGTACATTATGATAATGTACCAAATAGGAAAGCTTTTGCAGGTTCTTTTGTTTTAAAAGTAACATTGATTTGGTATAGTTTTCTTTATATGTGCACACAAAGTACTTAAGACAGTATAAATGTGGGGATATTGTTTGTAATCCTGTACAGATAGTTAAGAATGGAAATTGATTTGCACATGTGAGAACCATGTCTGATTGAAGACCCTACACATCCAGATTTACATTTTGCTATTCACATACCTTTTCTTTTAGGCACCTCCATGGGCATATATTGCATGTGCTTGTGGCCTTTTCATATACCAGTCTTTGGATGCTATAGATGGGAAGCAGGCAAGAAGAACCAATAGTAGTAGTCCTTTGGGAGAACTTTTTGACCATGGTTGTGATTCACTGTCTACAGGTATGATAGTATTACAAAGTAATTTTCTATTAATACAATGCTGTGCATGTCCGCTGAGTTTAAGGCAAGTGGGGATATTCTGAGAATACCAGAATGGAAACAGAAAGAAAAACCTTTGGTACTCTGGAAGAAGGAGAATAATAGATTGTGATTATATAATCCTGTTGCCGTATCTCAAAGTTTTGATAGAATGTTTAATATAAAATCTAACATTAATTATTAATGTCAGAGTCAGTATTTTATTTTCTTATTTAGCATGTAATTTAAGTAAATTCTTAAAATATTTGAAATAACTGTCTAGGTGTTTCAATTTTTAATCTCATCTTTCCAACTACAGAACAATTAAATGCTTAAATTTACCTTGAGAGCAAGCTAAATTTAACTTCCATAGTGCTAGAGATCGGTTTGGTAACAAATCAGCAATTCTGTATTTTAGAGTGGGGGCTGTATCCTGCGTGGACTACAGCCCACACCAGGTATGTGTGTATGTGCGCATGCATGCATGCATGTGTAAAAATGCCCCGAGATCTCTAGATGTTGTCCAGCCCTGTTCTAAACCCTTCCTCCATAGATCTGGTAGGGCCCAGCTGCTGAAAGCTCTTCCACTTGTCCATTGACGTAGGAGTGGCCATAGCTTAGCAGTTACTGGGAAATAGGAGCAGGAGAGTGCTTTTGCACTCATGCTGTACTTGTGAGTTTCTTGAGGGTAGCTGGCTGGCCACAGTGTAAAACAGAATGGTAGGCTAGCTGGCTCTTTGGTCTGATCCAGCTTAGGTCTTCTTATCTTATGGTAGAGCAAAGGCTTTGAATGCTGAGGGTCCCAGTTTCAGTCTCTGGTATCTCCAGATATAACTGCCAAAATGCCTGCCTGAAACCCTGGAAAGCTGCAATCAGCCAGTGTTGACTGTACAGGACTAGGTGGACCAATACTTCCTATGCTCCTGTGCCTTAACTCCACCTTTCCGTTTAGTCTTATGGATTGGCAGAGAGAGGTGTTACATTGGCCTTGCTTTTGCTTTAGCTAAGTTTCTTCCTGATGAGACACATTCAGGAACTGGACAGCTCTCCGGGCTTTAAGGCTATCTCAGGAGCTGCTCAGTGTATCAAATCTCCAAAAAGCAGTCTTTTGAGCATTTTTACTTTCTACTCTCTTTAATTCCCAATTAACATCCCAATTTTGACATGAACATTGAAAGTTATGAGTTTGGTAAAGGCAATACAGCATTAAACCAGATGTTTAATATAAAAAGAGTAAACATCATTGAGAAGTAAAATGTTATTAAGTATATCCCTGCTGTATAGAATAATATTAAAAAGCATTTCCATAAGCAAAACACCTAACATAAGCTTCTAGCAAGATGATTGTAGATTAAAATTGCATATATAGAGAGTTTCTGGTTAGCAATTTAATTTTAATGAAAGCATTGCTACACTGTGGCAGTAGAGCATAGCAGCTGGCAAAGAGCTTATACTTGCCTAAGAATGCTGTTGTAGCTTTTGCAGCACAGACCTCTGGCTATAAACAGGTAACATACAATTATTATTTTCCGTCACATTCATTTTTTTCCATCTTGCCATGGTCTCTGTTCAAACAGGATCGCAGGATTTTGTAGTATTCCCAATAAGCATTACCTTGTTCAAACCCAATGTAAACTTTCTATTTATCTTAAAATAGAACTGGGATCCCATCAGTTCCATTTTCTTCTTTAGTTGTTTTATTTGGGGTGTTAACGTTTGTTTTGCATCACACATTATGTAGAAATCTTACAGCACACATTGATCTTGAACTTTAACATATTTAACATTATGTATTTTAAAAAACAGAACAATAAATGAATGTACCCATTGCATGTTACAAACTTTTGAATAATTCTAATGATGTAATGGTAAATGAAACATTTATTTGTGTGTGTTTTGCTTTTGAAACCTGTAATCTAGAGAGCAAGCCAGTGTGATGTAATGGTTATGATGGGCTGGAACCTAGGAGATCTGGGTTCTACTCCTCATTAGCCATGAAGCTCACTGGATAACTTTGGGCCAGTCACTGACTCTCAGCCTAATCTACCTCACAGGGTTGTTGTGAGGATAAATTAGAGAGAAAGATGATGTAAGTCTCATTGGGTTCATCTGGTAAAAAAAGACAGGATATGGATAAATAATTTATAATCATTTTAAATTGTTTTTGTTTTCAGTTTTTGTGGTTTTGGGAACGTGTATTGCGGTGCAACTGGGGACAAATCCTGACTGGATGTTCTTCTGCTGTTTTGCTGGGACATTCATGTTTTACTGTGCACATTGGCAGACATATGTCTCTGGCACATTGCGCTTTGGAATGTAAGTAAAGCAACTAAAAGAAAATGCTGATATTATCACATGCCATGCTGCTACACCCTTAAGTATGCATTTGTATGGAGCATATGCTGAAAAAATGTTGTAACTTAACAAACTAATTAACTTGATCTATCATTCCAACACCAATATGGGCACATTTTCACCATAGAGATTAATGATGTTTTATAATCAACATTGTAATCAAACAAAAACAGAGACACTTAGAAGACTTATTCAGTGCCTGTTGATTTCAGGGGGTTTTAAAAATTAATCTCAGTAGAGAAAAAATAGAATGGCTACATTCCGCAAGTGGCCCTGGAGCAGTCCTGTACAATTCAATAGAATTTAAGCAAGCCTAGTCTAATGTAGAATAACAGAATTGTGGATTTTAAAAATTGCCGATAAAAATACAACAAAGCTCTGGCTGTTGGCTGATATAGAAATGAAATGAAACATGTTATCATTATTCGTAAAATTAAATAATTAAATTAAAATGGAGATGAACATGGTCTAATAGAAATAGATATGTTTATACTCTTGGTATTATAGTTGTACTATCTATACATTTGGAAAAGCAGTTCTCATTACAGGATGCTGTAATGAGAAGCAGTTAGTATCTCTATCCTAAACATATATTTCCTATTGCAGAAGGTCTTCAAATCATCCCCCCTAGAGTTACTTATACATAGACAGTTGTACAAACTCATTTTTGCCAACAGTTTATACTAAAATAGTTTCATGCTAGCTATCTTCATCCCAGGGCTGCTTAGTTTGCCGGAGGACACGTTTATTTGCTGCATTGACTTATACAAGTACAGGGATGGGAAGCATTATAAACAGAGATGATGGTCATTTCTTAATTAGATAACCTAGTCTCCATGAATAATGACCACTGTTTCAATTGTGCTTGGCTTTTGTGTGTTTGCTTAAGAAACAAATCATAATTAAATGAGGCTTCTTTCTGGCACAGGTTCTCATTTATATGCATTTTTCTGCTTTCACACACTGATGCAGACCAGTAGGGAAAAAATTAGTGAAAAAGTTGAATCAAATATGCTAGTGTTCAGTGTTGCATAAGAAGCCTAAAGTAAGAAAGCTGCAAGCTTTCCAGATTAGGGTTTATACTGCTGTAAATACACATGATAATAATTAAGAATTTGAAGGGCAAAAGAACTTGAGAAGAACAGCAATAGTAACACTTCCCAACTTTTGATGGAAATCTGTTTTCATGAGTCTATGTCTTTTGACTTGCTTAATATAAGTGAGTGATGTGCTTCAGCATTGGCTCTACAACCAAGGTAGCCACTAAGATGGCTAACATCATTTTTTTACAGCATATATTTGCCTTTGGACCCCACCTGTCTAACCAATTCTAATGGAATTTGGGTACCAAACTAATATTAGAGGAAACATTTATCACAAACTAAATTGCAAAATTACAAACTGTAGCAGCCACTTGAATTTCATTTGAGCAACAACACTAAAGTTGTACAAAAATATGTTATGTAACCAAAACTTGTGTCACTTAATGGTTTGTGATCAATCATTTTGACTCACTGGTAGTAAATTCTGAATAGTCATCATGCATAAGATTGCTTTCTGAAATGAAAGTGTTTATTATAATAGTCCAAATTGAATATTATATAGAATTCTAAGTATTGAAATCCCATATTCAAATAAAATACTGATTATACTGAAGTATTTATTATACTTTATAAAACACTTTTTTCTTTAGTTCACATTCTTGCTTCCTAAACCCATATTCACATTCCATAATCTATAATTAATATAGTGGTTACTGATCAGTAATCAGAGTTTTGGAAAATGTGTAGAAAACAAAAGAAAGGAGTTATTTCTTCCTATACTACAAAAATATTCACTATAAACTACAAAATCAAATTGGCTCAGGCAAAATTGTATACCTCAGTCCAATTTAGCTGTCATGTTGGCCATTCCTGAGTTGTTTAACCCAAGAATTATAGATTTGACCTATATGCTCATAGTTTCTGTCTTTATTTAGCAACCCAGATGTAAGAACCTGGAAACTCTGGATTATTTATGGGTTAATCAATGTAAGAGTTAATGCATCAAGTATCCATGTTTTATTGTTAGGTTAACTCTTATTATCTGGGTTCTGATGTCATGAAACAACTCAGGAATGGGATGTTTCCATGATGTTGATTAAAAGCAGAAATGTCAAGTGGCCATCCCTGCAATTCCTCGATCAAAAAACAGGAATTGCCAATGTGACATCTGAACCAGGTCATCCATCCCAAAAGTAAGAAGATTTGCTTAGTGATAGATGACACAGGATCTTCTCCGTTTGGCCTTTCTACCTCTTTAATCTCCATTGCAGTACCACAAAATACAGTGTTAGGTTTGCAGATGACCATTCCTACCATAATAAAAGAATCTTCCTTTTAGGGTCAGAACTTTTCATATTATTAATTTAAGGAAAGCTATTCAAAGCAGTGGCCTTTTTTCTGATACTTAACATTCCACAGCAGTGACATACATTGCCCCACTGTGAAGCTTGATTCTTGGGGCAAACAATTTAACTACTCATTCACTGTGATGAAAAACAATTGCTAAACTTGGAAGTAAACTGAGTCCTTGATCCGAAAGAGTGCTTTTTCAACAAGCATAGGACAATAGAGCAACTCATTGAACATATATGCAGGGAAAATTAGGTCTATATATGAATATACAAAGATACATCACTACATTAGGAGAGTTCTAAGAATCTGGAAACTTTGCAAGTCTTGAGCCTAGTCATGGCTTTGTACTAATATATTAACTTGTTAATTAGATGCAAAGCCTCCTTAAGCTTTTCTTATGGCTCATTCCACAAATAGATGAACAGACTAAAGTGCTTAAAGAATCTGGTATGGATAAAGCTTGCTTTATACAGCTTGATGGTATGCTTATGAAAAGTTATACTATGTTAAAGCTGCATCATTGTAAAAGTGTGCTATTAACTGATAATAGCATAGTAAAGCAATAAAATAGTACAGTTAAAATATTGCTGTTAAAATATAACTTCCCAGTTCAAACTGCATGGTGACCTAAGTTGTAGAATTTAAAGGATATTTTATTCTGATAATGGCTTTATCAACTCATAAAGAAGAATTTTTCAAACATGATGGCACATTCTGCATAGAATTCAGTATCATTTATCATTTCGCTCATTTGGCAAGGCTAAATACAATTATGACTCCTAATCCTTTATGATCTGCCTGCTCTTTGTGCTATATACAACACAACTTTAGAAGTACTTCTATAGATTATGTATGGGATTTACATGAATTTGAAGTAATACTGGCTTTGAAAATATAAATCATTAATGTAGATTTGTATGAGATTTGTTTGGTAACACATATGATGTTGGATTGCTTTTAGAATATTTTATAACTGTTTATAACATTTTAAATTTCCCTTTGATTTCAAGTCCACAGATAGTGAAAATAAGTTCTCATGGAACTATTAAAATATCTCAAAATATTTTAATTAAATGTTTCTTTCCCTCACATATAGATTTGATGTTACAGAGTCTGAACTCTGTATTATAATAACTCACCTTCTCACAGGAATTCTGGGACCCAAATTCTGGAATGTTACGGTAACTGATGCAGATCAGTGTTGCCTAGTGAATGGCATGAATTCTGTAGAGACAGCACCGTTCTGTCATGCACACTGTAATGGATACATAACATTGTTTTCATAAAGATATTTCCTGGAAATTTTGCTTCAGCAAAATACAACCTGTAATGCCTAAATGGGAAGTCTAAATTGTGAAGTCTCCTGACACCATCTACTCTAAAACATAAATAGTTTTGCTTTGAAATTATGGTGTTTTTTCCCCTGATTGACTATTGTCAAGACATGCAGAAGTGATTTCACTCCTTTGAAGAGAAGAATTCCAGAGAGGTGGAAGGAATTCTTTACATAAGGTCTAGATTAATTTTGCTGGAACTACCTTTGGAATATTTCCTTCCTCTTTTGCTAGAAACCTTGCCACCAGAAAAAAGAATTGTGTAGATATCTTGAAAAAATGTTGATGTTGTAGAAGAACATTCTTAGTCATCATTGAGAATTCCCTGCCTTCAAACCTAGGAAAGATCTAACAGGGCTCTGTCCTAAGAAGTTTAGTTCTTAATTTCCTATTACGCTGAAGGTTCATTATCCATCTTCCTTTTAGTTAGATATGGTTTTAAATATAGCTTTGAGTTTTTGGTTTGCTTTGTGTAATCAGGGTAAAATTTCTTCATGATACTGCTTAGGCTGTTTTCTCTTTTCCATAAGTTTATGGAAATGAGTTCATAATTTTATAAATAATCAACATGAGAAATGTATCCTATGTAATTTTGCTATCCTTTTTGGAAACTGTTTCTATTGATAGTTTGTGAAGGTTAAAGTTGTTTCACACAAAGATTTCCCCATATAAATTGAGTGCTGATAAGCATTTGTACTCATTGCCATGTAACATTACTTTAAGTATTTCCTGAATATAAGAATTGAAGTCTCTATTTAGCTTCTATTTTGAAGCTTCTATTTCGAAGTAGTTGCACTTGAAGCAGGTTCATGGGTTTTTCTGCAATGTAAAATATGAATGAGAGCTACTCCAGACACATGTGCATGAGAGTTTAAAGATATTTTTATGTTCATAGTACATCTCTGCTTCAGGAAACACCAATGTGCCTGAATAAACATAATTTTCACATGCAGCAATGTAATAGATATTGGATTCCAAGTGAGAGGATTGTGAGCCAAAAAGCAAGTTGTGGAACAGTTGTCAGAGATGTGAAGTCAAAAAACACAGGCAGCTGTGTCTGCAGGAGACAGAAATAATATTGGGATTTATGTAGTGATTTTGACTTTTGTATGCATGACTTTCATAATCCTTATAACAATCAGTACATGGTATTGGCATCCACACATTGCAGGTGGGGATGGGGAAGGACTGAGGCAGAAAGATAGCAGTTTGCCATCTAGTGAGTTAATGGCTGAGGTGGGATTTGAACCAGGAACTTCCTGGATCAATGGAGGTATCTAATGGAATAAAAACTATAACAGTTCAATACGATGCTGAATGTTTTTCACAGCTACTGTTTTATAAGACATTTGTCATTTTTCCTGATTGATATTTCATGTATACATTTTGTCAGATTTTAAAATCTTAGGCAAAAGGCAAGATAAGTACTAAGAAAGATTGGGTAAGGTAGATGTGCAGAGCAATAGCGTCAATAAAGTGCAGGAGGGATATGATAGATTATGGGTCTATTATATTTTTCCTGTCAATTAAATATAAATAGTAATTTATGTAGTAATTTTATGAACAGAAAATGAATGCACATGAATTTTTTCCTAAACTTTCTTTTTCTTTTTTCTTTTGATTAATCCCTTGGAGTCTGTCAGCATCCCTTCTCAAAAAGTAAAACAGAATTCTTTGACGATGTGCTCATTTGATATGCAGAAGGATGTCCTGGTGTGAAACTGATGGCTGGCACTTTCAGCTTTGGTGAAACTGGTCACTTTTTGAAGTAGTGAAAGGAATGGTGACCTGGAATCAGTGACCTCACTTTCCAGCATGGTCACATGCATAACAGGGGCCCTGTGCTCCATAGCTAATCATGGCCTACTGGCTCATGACACACATGGGTTGGAACATATGTTTATTATATGCAGGCATTACATGCTGAAAAAACACAATATATAATTTGACCTATAGGTGAGACATGACTTGCAAACTTCAGAAGTATAGCTAAGTGCGCTCAAGCGCAAGCATGATATCGCCATTCTCTTTGTTTAAGCAGCTGGAAACAGGTTACAGGCTTGTTTTTGTTCTTCTCCAACTCTGGTACAAATACCCTTTCCCTTTCCTTATGTCCCTTAACCAAGATTTAGTGTTTCATTTGGACTGGTTTTATTCAGGAATCCCTCAACCTGGGTTTGCAAACCTGTTTCATACCTTGATTTCAAGTAATGTTTAAGAGATGAACTCTGATTAACATTAACCATGCTTAATGCCTACAAGGAAGTTAAAGTGAACAGAAGGTGGGGCAGTATGTAAGAGATGGGCATTCTGTCACACCATCCCATGTGAATTTCAACACAGAATGGAAGGATCAGCTGTAATGAGGGCAAACATTTTTTCTTGGAGGCATCACTCTAAATTCTTTTTGTTGGTGAGCAAGGTTTTGTGTTTACATTTCTGCAACTGCTTATTATTACTTGAAAGAAGTGAACAAGTTCCACATATTTCATTTACCTGTACTCCTAAACAGCTGCAGTGTGGGTAGAAGGAAAGTATCAATGCAACCAGAGAAGTTTAGAAAGCTTCCCTAGCAGCAAATCATCTTTACATTTAAAACCAGCTTCCCCATACAGCCTACAGTAGAAACTTAAAATACCTCTGGTTATAGGTAAGCTTGTCTCTTATCTACTTTGTGACTACTTAGGGTAATGGCCTCTAACTGTACCTTTATTTTGTATGCTGTGAAAGGTAACAAGGTACAGTCCAGCATGGGTATGTCAAGAAACTTAAATTTTGTTTTTCTCCCTCCATTATTTGTTTGTTTTACTTTGTGCATGATAAAGGAGAGCTGTCATGCTTGCAAATTGGTTAAAAATGGCTTTGTGTAATTCTGCTGTTTTCTGGCTTTTTTTGTACCTAATCAGAATTGATGTGACTGAAGTACAAGTCTTCATAATAATCATGCATTTACTGGCAGTGATCGGAGGAACAACTTTTTGGGAAACTATGGTAATTCTGTTTATATTATATAACCCCATGTTATATATATAGCAGAGAGAGAGATTTGTTACGCACATAGAGCATATGCTATTTATTGTTTGAATTGGAAAGATTTTACTGTTTTCCAGTGGAGAAAATATTTGTGCATTGAGTTAAATATAAATTCGACTACAAAGAGCTGATTCATACTCCCAGGTATTTAAAACTAGGTTTACTTTTCCACCATGTAATCAGTCACAGGAGCTCCAAAATCCGTTCTATAAGAAACAATTTTGTCTGCCAGTTAAACAAAATATGACCTTCATGATTGACTCTTATTAGCACAAATCTGCTTAAGTTAGAAGGGAAGGATACTTCAGTCCAGCTGCAGATCCCATTCAGATTGTGGTGTTAAAGGTTTATAACACCGTGGCTTATTAATACTTACCAAAGTTGATTTGGCTGCCATAGATGCTTGAGCATGCTATGCATGTCTACTAAAAAGTAACACTTTGGTCCATAATACAGCACCTGTGTATGTCTTGTTTTGTAAGTTACTATTAAAAGCAAATGCTAATTTTCTGTGGTAACTACTTTGCTACAAGGTAATTATTGCAAAAGGAGTACTAAGAGAAGCTTGTGAAATATTATCTATGTGTAAAGCACTTTTTAAAAAAAAGTTTGGACAACTATAGTTTCTTGATTGCTTTCTTGTGCTGGGAAGAAAAACAAAGCTCATGTAGTATAGTGAAAAACAGGTAATATTTATTTATTTTAATTTTATACTACCCAGTAGCCATAAGGTGCTCTGGGTGGTTCACAAAGCTTAAAAATATAGCAAAGTATGTAACAATATATACTAATCAACAATAAATCAGTAATCCCAGATAATATGGAGACAAATAAGCTACAGCAACCACAGTCAGATCAATCCAGAGGTACAGCAGCAATGCAAGTTATGGGAATGGGTCACATTTTCATCCAGTGTTTGACTGATTCATTTGCTTTTCTTTATTCCCAGGTTTAGCCTGGAATTTCAGAGTATATTGAAGCATTTCCCTTTATTCTAATTCTTTTTATTCTCTTCATTTTTCTAGTAGTGCTCTTCCCTGGGTGTATCTAATCTTGTCTTTTCATCATGTAGGAGTTGACCTCAGTTGTGGCATCTAACTTCAAGGTTCCCAGTTTATAAATATTCCCAATATTTGGCCCTCTTCTTCCATTTGATGGTGTGTCCTCAGGAAGAAGTTCTCACATAATGTGCTTAGATCCCAGTTTAGCCATACTTAGAGTTGTTGTTAGTCACAAAGTCATGTCCAACCCATCGTGACCCCATGGACAACATTCCTCCAGGCCTTCCTGTCCTGCACCATCCCCTGGAGTCTACTTAAACTCACGCCAGCTGCTTCAGTGACTCCATCTAGCCACCTCATCCTCTGCTGTCCCCTTTTTCTTTTGCTGTCAATTGTTCCCAACATCAGGATCTCCTCCAGTGAGTCCTTCCTTCTCATTAGGTGGCCAAAGTATTTGAGTTTCATCTTCAGTATCTGGCCTTCTAAAGAGCAGTCAGGGTTGATCTCCTCTAGTACTGACTGGTTTGATCGCCTAGCAGTCCAAGGGACTCGCAGGAGTCTTCTCCAGCACCACAATTCAAAGGCCTCAATTCTTCGATGCTCAGCCTTCCTTATGGTCCAATTTTCACAGCCATACATTGCAATTGGGAAAACCATAGCCTTGACTATATGCACTTTTGTCGGCAGGGTGATGTCTCTGCTTTTTAGTATGCTGTCTAGATTTGCCATAGCTTTCCTCTCCAGGAGCAAGCATCTTTTAATTTCTTGGCTGCAGTCCCCATCTGTGGTGATCTTGGAGCCCAGGAAAATAAAATCTGTCACTACCTCCATTTCTTCCCCATCTATTTGCCAGGAAGTGAGAGGACCAGATGCCATGATCTTAGTTTTCTTAATGTTGAGTTTCAAGCCAACTTTTGCACTCTCCTCCTTCACCCACATCAAGAGGCTCTTTAGTTCTTCACTTTCTGCCATGAGAGTGGTATCATCTGCATATCTGAGGTTGTTGCTATTTCTCCTGACAATCTTAATACCAACTTGTGATTCATCTAGCCCCACCTTTCTCATGATGTGCTCTGCATATAAGTTAAATAGGCAGGGCAACAGTATACAGCCTTACCAAACTCCATATCTAGTTCCAACTGTTGCTTCTTGAACTGCATATAGGTTTCTCAAGAGACAAATAAGATGGTCTGGTACTCCCATCTCCCAGAAGTAGATGTTTTTCTGGAACTCCCTAGCTTTCTCCATGATCCAGCGTATGTTGGCAATTTTATCTCTAGTTCTTCTCCCTCTTCAAAATCCTGCCTTCCGGTTGTTCATAGTCCACATACTGCTGGAGCCTAGCTTGTAGGATTTTGAGCATAACTTTGCTAGCATGTGAAATGAGTGCAGTGGTGCGGTAGTTTGGACATTCTTTGGCATTGCCCTTCTTTGGGATCGGAATGTAAACTGACCTTTTCCAATCCTGTGGCCACTGTTGAGTTTTCCAAATTTGCTGGCATATTGAGTGTAGCACTTTTACTGCATCGTCTTTTAGGATTTTGAATAGCTGAGCTGGAATACTGTTGCCTCCACTAGCTTTGTTGTTGCTCAGACCTACTAAGTCCCATTTGACTTCACATTTCAGGATATCTGGCTCGAGGTCAGTGGCCACCCCATCATGGTTATCAGGGACGTTAAGCTCTTTCTTGTATAGTTCTTCTGTGTAATCTTGCCACCTCTTCTTAATCTCTTCTGTCTCTGTTAAGTCCCTGCCATTTTGGTCCTTTATCATGCCCATCTTTGCATGAAACGTTCCTTTCATATCTCCAATTTTCTTGAAGAGATCTCTGGTCCTCCCTATTTCTTTGCACTGTTCATTTAAGAAGGCATTCGTATCTCTTCCAGTTATTCTCTGGAATGCTGCATTCAGTTCGGTGTATCTTTCTGTTTCTCCAGTCAGTCTTGTTATCTCTTGTTTGACCACATCCAGCTTGCCTTGATTCATGGATCTTACATTTCAGGTTCCTATGGAGTATAGATCTTTACAGCATCGGACTCTCCTTTCACCACCTAATACATCTGCAACTAAGTGTCCTTTTGGCTTTGACCCAGTTGCTTCATTCTTTCTGGCACTACTAGAACTAGCCCTCTGCTCTTCCCTAGTAGCATATTGGACTCCTTCCGACCTGAGGGGCTCATCTTCTGGCGTCATATCTTTTTGCCTTTTGGTACTGTCCATGGGGGTTGTAATGGCAAAGATACTGGAGTGGGTTGCCATTTCCTTCTCCAGTGGATCTTGTTTTGTCAGAGCTCTCTGCCATGACCTGTCCGTCTTGGGTGGCCCTGCACGGCATAGCTCATAGCTTCATTGAGCTACGCAAGCCCCTTTGCCACAACAAGGCAGTGATCCATGAAGGGGATACTTAGAATAGTGAATGGTTATTAGTCATGACTACTAATTTCATTGGGTCTGCTCTTAATTATGGCTAATTCTGGAACCAATCCTTTTCTCCTTTATATCACCAAAGATACAGATCTTTAGCTTTTAGAAAGGTAATGTGTGATGAAAGTCTTTTTTTTTCATCCCCTGTTTTCTCCAGGTAGTTCCCAGGTATAGATTTAGAAAAGTAGGATGCTTGACTATTTGGAATTTAGAGGAAGAATTATTTTAAGTTATCTTACATATTAAACATATTTTCTTCTTCTTCTGTTAAGATTCCAGTGGTAAACATCCAAATGAAAATACTTCCAGCTCTTTGCACTGTAGCAGGAACCATATTCTCATGTACAAACTACTTTGGTGTGATCTTCACTGGTGGTGTTGGCAAAAATGGATCAACTATAGCAGTAAGTGATCCTTTATCCTACTATGTATGTTTTTTCTTCTTTGTGTAATTCAACTTTTTTTCCCTGCTAGTCTTGTTGCCATAATTTCAGATGGGCCCATTTTATTGGTAGAGTCTTCTGCTTCGTTCTGATGAAAGAAATAATACAGCCTTCCTGAGTGAAATTTTCAAAATAACACTGTGACTCTGGAAACAAGGGAAATCTTTTTTTATAAAACACTTACAGGCATACATTTCATGTCACTTTTGCCTTCTGGTCATTTTAAGATTAAATTCATAGATTTAACACAGAAAAATGTGTTAATTATTCAAAGACAAGAAGGTATCCATTTAAATTTTCTTTCTTGTTTCTCTTATGTATTTGAGCGCAGTTGCTCAGGATCCCCCAGAATCAAATAAAAGGCCGTTCTTTTGTGATGGATGTCATGATTTGTGTTAAGGCAGTTGACATTTTAATATTTAGCTATAAGCTTGGTTTTTATTAAGCAATGCAAGATTGTTCTGAATTACAAATTAAAATATGTGGACTGCCTGTGCTTTGAAAACTGCACCTCTTAATACTTTTATATAAGGACTAGACTACATTGTTCTGTTAATCATGTAAGTGTAGCTGAACCTGATAATTTTTCTTACTTCAATGTAACTGTGCATAGTTCTTGGATCAGCATGCTTGGGGAAGGAAGGCTTAAACTTTGCTCCCCTACCCATTTGCTCTGCTGTGGGAAGGTTAAAAGAAAGAAGGGGGGAAAATCTCCACTGGAATCAATTGCTTTTTTCCCCTTCTAAATCACTCTCTTCCCTGCCTCTCATGTTTGTAGAATTTAGGACAGGGGAGGTTTCATCCTTTCCTCCCCACACATGTTGTTACCAATCCCTATTGGGACCACATACAAATACTCCAAAGTAAAAAAAAAAAAAAATCAGGCTTTGCTGCTTGTACATTATTAGCAGGACATGTGGTTTAGTCCTAAGTCTCATTCGGTTTTAGCCAGCAGAAGACTTTCTTGAAACTGTTTTGCGGCTGAAATTGCATGTGGGTTGTACATGCAGTGTAGTGTTCACAATGCCTGCTTTTCTCTTAGAGGATCCAGCCACACAGTCAAGTGGCAATGTACTCTACACTTCCCCACAACTAAATGAGGGAGCTCAAGGTACAGCGTAACAGGACTGCCAGCTTGCCATATGTTCTGGAAGTGTCATGTTGATACTTGTACTTCTGTTGTATGCTTTTACTAAAATATTAATATGAACTCCTTCTCTGTACAGGGAACAAGTGTCCTTTCTCCATTTCTTCACATTGGATCAGTCATCATATTAGCTGCTATGATCTACAAGAAATCTGCTGTGCAGCTCTTTGAAAAACATCCCTGCCTCTACATACTGACCTTTGGATTTGTTTCAGCTAAGATAACTAACAAATTAGTGGTAAGTGTTTCATTGTTCTTATCTTGTATGATAAGCTTTGCCATTAAAAATTTACTACTTTACTTTCATTGCAGACAGATTTATCCACATTGTCTCCAACTGTTCCATTTCTGAAAGCTGTTCAGTGAGATACGTAATGGTACTTTTATAATTCAAGAAAATGTTAATCAAAATTAAGTTGCATGTCCCAGAAAATGACTGCTTATTCAAAGTATTCATTACAAATTCTGAGGATATTATCTGAATTACCATTTTTTTCTACAGGTTGCACATATGACCAAAAGTGAGATGCATCTGCATGACACAGCATTCATAGGCCCAGCTCTCTTGTTCCTGGATCAATATTTTAATAGTTTTATTGATGAGTATATTGTACTTTGGATTGCCCTGGTAAGTATTTCCTTAAATCTCTGGGCATGACAAAAAAAAACCTTGATGCATATCTACTGTCTTTGTTTTGCATCAAAAGCAAGGGAGTGGCAGAAAGACTAGGATCAGAATGCTGACATTGAAATAAGATTTAAAATTAGTGAGATCTCAGAATGTGCTGGTCATTGCTATTTTTGTATCCCATATATACAAGTGTATTTCATGTCCATCACCCTTCCTCTAAGGAGCTCCAGGCATAGTTGCAATCTCTGTTATCACCAAAACTATGCTCAACTTCTGAGGCCTCCCTCTTAGTGCCAACTCCAAGGGAAGCATAGAGGGGGCAACAAGGGGAAGGGCTTTCTCTGTGGTAGGCCCCTGTCTGTGGAATGGCCTCCCAACTGTGGCCTTGCTTGCACTGCATGTTTATCTTTTTAGTGGCAGGTTATGATGGCCCTCTTCTCTGAAGGCTTTAAAGACTTGCTTGGCTATCCAGGGGCTTGAGGGGGATTACCCATCCCAGGTGTTTTGCATCTTTGCTATTGTCAGTTTTAGCCAGTGCTTTTTTTGTAAAAAAAAAAAGTTGCCGGAACTCACATCGCCGGCAGTAAGCATGCGACCACACACACCAATCCCAAGCCAAGCAGTGGAGCAGCATCCCAAGCCACATCCCGAGAGAGCCTCTCACTATCTCACTATCCCATAGCAGATAGCAGACACAAAAGCAGCCTGCAGGCACTATGTTAATGATGTTTGCTGCTGATCTGCAAAATCAGTTCGTAAAATCCATTGGAAAAAATGGTGCCGGTGCGTTCTATGACAAAAAAAGCCCTGGTTTTAGCTGTTTTAAACTTTTTTTCCTGATTTTATGATATTTTATTGCATTTTATGTCTGTGTTTTATGGATCATTGTAACCAACCCAGAAAGCCTTGGTTGTGGGGTAGTATAGAAATGAAATTAATGATAACAATGATAATGATACAGTTTTGTGAGGTAGAATGCTTAGTTTAAGAAATTGGCTGCCTGCAGAATATTCAATGAACTGTGTGGTTTTCATAGTCTCTATGTTTGCAATTGGAGAAGGTAGTACATTTGGACTGTAGAAAAAGCATTTTTTGCAAGAGAAAGACAATGCTATATGTAAAGGAAAAGAGGGATCCTGATGCATTGAGAATGCATTCAAAATCTGCCGAACGCATTGCTTCACGGCTTTTATATCTAAATCTTACATGTGGCTATGTTCTCCTTTCAGATCTTTTCTCTCTTTGATTTGCTCCGATACTGTGTCAGTGTGTGCAATCAGATTGCTTCCCACCTTCACATCCATGTCTTCAGGATCAAGACCTATTCCACATACTCTAATCATCATTAGTTAACTTGGTGATGGTCACAATTAAAAAACAACTGACAACTGTTTTCTAAAGGAGAGGATACAAACATACTGAGGAGACTATGGAAACTGGAACAGATAGGAACAAGTCTAATTTATAATAATGTTGTGTAACTTCTAATCTGTTTTTGATGACACTCCTTAGCTAGCCTGGAAAGGGGAATTCCAAGCACTCTCCGGCCAGGAAAGCATGCAGAGAGTAAAGCTTTGTCTTTGTAATTACCTTGGTTACATAATAAACTCCTGGGTTAATGGATTCCTAACAACAGGAGCATCTAGTACAATGTAATTACATGCTGTAAGACAACTTGCTTTCTAATTTTAATAAATCATCTCTTAGTGAAATATTCAGTTAGTAAGTACCCACTCAAAATAATTACTAAAAAGTCGAGCTTATGATACACAGATATCCCACTAGCATTTGTGGTTGAAATGTCTCAGACTTTTGAGTCTAGACTTTGATCTCATTATTCACCTGTTGCTGATAACTGAAGTAGATTTTTAAGTCCAAAATGACACTTCACATTACTCCCATTGTCTGTTTGGAAGTTGGATGTGTTTAAAAGTGCCATCTTTGGAAAGAATCCACTGTGGCTGGGCTGTCTGTTCGTTTCAGTTTGGTGCTATGGGTCTGCTGAATGCAAGTTTCTCAGCCACTGTGCTTGATGGATTGCACCTTTTGTCTTTAAAGTTTCGCTCATTGAGAAATCAGTGAGCGGTGGTGGGGTGATCGTCAGCATGCAGTATAGTGTGGTACCTGTCAGTTTATTTTATTTTTTAAAATAAACATTTAAAGAATTTATTTCTCAGTGTTCTTCAGTGGAAAAATCTATACGAGATTTACAGTTACTTTTTGTATAAAATTTATGCAAAAATTATTTCTGCTCTTTAATAAATAAGAAAATTCTCATAACTATGAGCATATTTGTGTGAATGTGCTATTTTGGGCCAATCTGCAAAAATATTGAACTGATAAAGTGTATACTTCCTATCAAAATGCCTCTGCATATCTTGTACATTTTAATAATGACAATGCAGTTTAGGTTCTAATCATGTTGGAACTATTGCTATGTGATCTATACAATAAAGAACACTTGTTAGCTAACAGGACACTACTAGCTTAACCATTGGTGAACTAATAAAGCAACTATTTTGAGAAAGTAGTAGGAATATCATCTGAAGTAAGCAGATAGATCAAGGGTGTTTTATGACTCAACCTAAGTAATAGGAGTTAAATATTGGAGTTACTATTTGGAAGAATTAAGAAGCAGGAGGACTTTTGGACAAGCACTTTCTTAGGTCAGGGATAGAGGAGGGAACTAAGAAAGAAAAGCTATTGCCATAAGTGCAACATTTCCAAAGCTACAGCTAGTTACTGGGGTCCCCGTTTTACAAACTGCAGCTAGTACCAACAAATATGTGAGTTACCAGCAAACCATATCTTTCTTCCTGTTGCAATGTTGTAGGACTAGCCTTCCCCCAAGTGGGTGTCCACTAGATGTATTGGAGGGCAACTTCCATCATTCCCAGCCAGCATGGCTAATGACTTGTAATGATGGGAGTTACGTGTGAACACAGTTAGAGGACACCAGCTTGGGGAAGGCTGAGGCACACTGTCACCATTTCTAATATATGCATAAGATGATTGTGATTTTTCTATAATCAAAACCTTAGAGTGAAAACATTACATAGCTGAGGTGACTTGGCTTCTCCTTCATGGTCTCTGTGGATCACACATATGGGCTTAATATGCATGCCTGGAGCTCGTTTGGGAAGTTTCCAAACTTCTGGTGGCATTGTGAATAGTACATTGTACTTCACAGCAGTGGTGAAATAGTTCCAAGTCAGTTCAAAATACTGAACACAGCTCTGGTTGAATAGAAGAAACTGAAATTAAATTTCCACTTGCTCCTTGTAATTAAGTAAGATAAAAGTTGTTTTTCAAAATCACTACACCCTAACTCACATATATTCAGAAGTATCAAGCCAATTGAGGATTTGGGTTTTAAAAAGTGGTTAGGGTTAGGGATATTCCTTCTTACCAGGAAAATAAATACATCAATCCTAGGGTCAGAATAATCTGTCTCATTCCATGGACATGGCAGAGGAAATAGGAGGGTTTTTATACCCTGTGGATCCAAAACTCACTCCAGAGCACTCCTATTTGCTATTAGCGTACCATCAGCTGACCTTTCAAGAGGGAGAGCCATAAAACCCAATGCCCCCTGTGACAGACCATATGATTGCAACACCTGGTTCCAACTCACTGTGTCACTGAAAGAACAAAATAGCCCTGATATTATACAGAAGACAGATCTAGTGATAAAGACTGAAAAATCTAGGAAATTTCTGTAGATGTTGTTCTTGGGATTAGATTTTGCACTCTTCACTAGATGTTGGTTTGCCTAAAATGACTCCCTTTCCTCATCTCTGTTTCTTCTTGCTCCCTTCAGTCTTTCATTTCTTGGCATGCTATTGTTTCTACCTTCTGCCATTTTTTTTACTACTCAACAATGGAATTTCCTTGAGAGATGTCCTCATGAAGCAAATGAAGGCATTGTTTCTTGGAAATCCATCTTCACATAAATACCAATCTTATATCAACAACAGCATCACATCAGAAACAAACATGCAGTATGAAGCTTTTAGATCAGAAGCCATTTTAATGAGAATAAAAATATTTCAAAAATATGCTTAATTAGTCTCAGTCAATTTATCACTATATTCTTTGTTATCATTAACCACACCACAACTTATTCATTTGACTGTTTCTAAATAAGTTAGAGTCCTATTGTGACCAAGTTGATGGGTCAGTTCATTACAGTTTCATGCTGTCTCTTTCTGCAGCTTTGCCTGACCATCAGTTGGGCTACAAAACTGCAGCCAAACAAACTGTATCAAAAAGCAGCTTGTAGTGTCAGTCATGGGAAAGAGGGGAAAGGGCAAGAAATGGAGTCCTTGCCCTGCCATGGTTCACCAATGGAGACCAGACACTACTACAAGAACCAGCAAAGCCAAGGGTGCTCTTCCATGGCGTTACCATGTCCAGGTATTATTCTAGCCTCAGGCCTGCCTATCTGTTGATGAGCAATCCTTTTTTTCTAGAGCAGAGTCAGGAGAGTCTCCTTTGCTTCTTTTGTTCTTGATATTCATTTAATTTCTGCTGAAAATAACCTGTGGATGAGAGGAGAAAAAATGCACCAGTCACAGCATCCCACATTTTGACACCTTTCTGTCTAAAGAGTGCCTCTAGACATTTCCAAAAAGATAGATTGCAGTAAAGCTTTTTTCTCTAGGTGAATAGGTGGTGAAGCAGCAGTGCCATAAAACCAATTGAAATGCTAGCACAGAACAAGAGGAGTGGAGAACAGATATCATGTAGTCTGAAAGAAAATAAAGGATTAAGCCCAACATTGCAAGAATAGACTTCTACTTATACAGTGAGGCTTTGTCATGCTTTCCTTTCCCCTATAAGGGTCTCTCAATATTCCATAGAAGGTTTGAAGGGTGTTGTGGGAGGGGGTCCAAAGGTGAGTGGGAACCTGTTCTGCCAACGGCTTCTGTTCTGCTATTTTGTTCCACAGCCAGGACTGGATCCAATCAAATGGGCTCTACTAGAGGAGTTTTTCTACATGGTAAGCATGCAGAAATTGTTTGTTCATTCCAGATTAGAAACTATAACTCTTGTAGCATTTTCCAGCATGCAGTCTAATAATTTCTCCATATGAAATGCAAATCCCCATCCTCCCTTCCTGGTAGGGCCTTAATCATCAATGTTATGTGGGAAAAATTTGTTGGTAAACCATCCCTCCTCCATGGGACTGGCACTATAAGGGCAAAGCATCAAGGTGCACAGCCACGCTGGGACAGGAATTTACCTTCTACACAATTCCTGCTGCTTTCTGCTTCTTGAATAAATAATGAGAACATCTGAGTCTTCACAAACTTTTTTAGAAACTTGCGGCTGTTCTTGGAGGAGAGGGCCTTGTAGAAAGATCGCTCCTGGAAGCAGCCTTGACCATTTCTGTTCCATTTGATATGTTCTGGATAATGGCCAATCATCTTTACAAAGAACTGTACAAAGGTGTCCGAAACGCAGACATTGAATTCTTCAGAAGCTTGAAAGATAAAGAGAGACGTGTATATGTCATTCCTGCAGAAATATTACCCCCTTCCCAAGCCTTAAGATTTTGACTGTGTTTCATTGTTTCCCAGCTCACCAATGGAATATTCCACAGGCTGCATTGGCCGAGGTTGCAGTCTAAATATCAGAGCTGCCATGTGAAGTCTGATTTAGAATCATCACACCTGATGGTCGTCACTAGGTGTCTAACTCTTTGCATGTGGTGGCTCATGGTCAAAATTTAGGGTGCTTCCAGATCAATGGGTGCTTGTGCTACCAGTCAAGAGACACTGTGCAGCTATGCCATCTCTCCTTCCTTAATGGGTTTTTTTGCAGGAAAAAAATGATGAAAAAAGTGGTGAGGAAACACAAGCGGGTTAAAAAAATTATATATTGTCATTGGGCCCTGGTAAAAATCTGTGGATAAAATGATAGCACAATCCTTGCCTAGATCACCTGTGGGTTTTCTGCACACCAGAGGTATGATGAAAGGAACTGTGTGCTTTTCCTCATCCTTAGAAACCAGGATCTCAACATTCATTGATTTGACACTTGTCTGGCCAAGAACTATCTCTCTGCAACTCTGTCCTTATCACACGTGCAAATCCATCAACTTTTCTTGTTTTCTGCAAATTAACAGACATGTTTTGCTTACTTTGTCTGTTGTTGTTCATCGTAGGCAGCAAAGACAACATCTCACTCTGTAGCTTTGCAGGCAAGATCTCTTCTTCATCGCCAACCTACAGAATTATTTAAAAAGGAAAGATATTAGGAAAAGGCAAGAGAATCTTTTTTTTTTTTTTACAACACCCTCCAGTTTGCAGCAGAATCAACTCATTTTGCCTCTAGATCCAAGATGATGGTGATGCTGAATGAGGAGAAGCGGAAGAGACTGAAGGAGGTAGAGGAGAGTTTAAAGAACTTCCGTATCTCTGCAGGAAAGGTTGGCGTTTTGGCTAATGGGGTGGGATATAAGTCTAATAAACAAATACATAAATCCCAGGCAGAATGTGAAGAAGTGTGTAGGGGTGGGCTTAAGGTCAAAGATGAGACTGGCTAGGGGAAGCCTGCCCCCACAATTTTTCTTCTATCCCTCTATTTTAGTACAAATATTTTAAATAGTTTACAATTTCTTTCTTTAAGAACATAAGAAAAGCCATGCTAGATCAGACCCAAGGTCCATGTAGTCCAGCACTCACTACACATGATAGCAAACCAGCTGCCCACAGGATCCCTCAAGTAAGATGGGTGCAAGACCTCCTCCTGCCCAAGCTCCTGAGCAACTACTGTATGCAGGCAAGCCTCCTCTGGTAAAGGAGGTAGCACATAGCTAGCAAGGCTCGCAGCCACTGATAGTCTCCTTTTTCACTTTTTCTTTAAAAGTCTGCTAATCAGATGAATTGTCCCTCCTTTTTTGGTGCCCCTCACACATTTTTTTTAGGCTTGCTACAGGCTTGTGTAGGGAAACATAACAAATCGTAATTGCCTAGAGATGCTCATCATCAAAGTCCTGCAATAGAGATAATATAGCATTAAAACTGAACTTACCTCTTTTAAGAACTTTCCTTCACATAGGTCAACAAGGAGCACCTAAAATGGCACAACAAACATCTGGATTCATTAATTCAGCACTGCTCTAAGGATTAGCAAATTAACCAGACAATGTTTGGTGCTGGAACAGAGTACAGAGTCCTGCAAGACCCTGATTCCAACCAAACTGAGCAAAAAGTCAGGTTTACATTATGCCCAGTAGATGCAGATTTAATGGTGTTGAGTTTTTTCTTTCCAAGATATTCTGTTTTAAGACTCTGATATTGAGGTTGGAGTCAGCTCAAACAGCAAGTATAAATTGATCATGACATTAAATAACCTATTCTCCAGATGCTGTTCCTCAGTGTCGACACTGAAAAAACCTAAGCCTCATTTTCAGAACAGATAAAACTGAAGTTGTGAATGGGTGGAACATTTATAAGTGTCATATTTCTGAGGCAAGCCTTTCACGCGGCCTGAAGGTGACTTTTACTATTGAGCCTTGACTAGTTAGTCTAGCAGCCTTGTTGATGGGAGGACCTAGGGCAGTGGTGTTGAACCTCAGGCCCATGGGCCCAATCCAGTCTGCCTGGGGTCCCCATATGGTCATGCTCTGTTTCTCCAGTCCCATTTCCTGTTTTTTGCATGCCCTTTCCCCCCCATTCATACAGTTCAAAAAGCCTCTCTTAAGCCATATTATTAGCAATCAAAGCTCTATGTGATGTTAGGGTTATTTGGGGAATTGTCCCCACTCCTTTTGCCCTTGGCCATGTCTTACAACTGGAGTGCAACCCTTGAACGTTTCTCTGAAATTGACCTTGGCCCATGGAGTGAAAGAGGTCAGACACCCTTGACACTGGGAATCACCGCCAGTGCCAGTGCTGGGTGCTGCCATGCTCCCAAAGACCCAGCACTGTCTCAGTCCCTCAATGCCCTTTCTTCCCCCTTAGAGACTTGCAAGACAGTACCTCTTCCATGGGTTGATCCAGAACCTCATCTAGGTGGCGCCTTTGGATCCCCAGCATGAAGGGTGTGGGACAGCAGACAGTGCTGAGAAGCTTCTCGGGAACCACTGGGATATACGTATGGGCCCAGGTGAAGGGGTAAAGAAGAGCTGCAGCTGCATGAATGCACTTGGAGAGGGAACTGCAAGGGATTCACAGTGCCAATGAGAAGATGAGGAGACACTCAAAAGGCAAGGCCAGTAACCAGAAATAAATAAAATCAATGCAGAAATACCCTTTCTGTCCAAGTTCATGAATTTATTGACAGCTCAGCCTTGGAAGTTTGTGGCAGGTTACAGTATCACTGATTGTAAAAATGTAAATTCACATCAGCTGAGAAATACAGAGGACAAATCCTTAGTGCTCCCCAGGGAACGACTGTATACTCAGAGGGGAGCAGCATTGCCAAGTTAGAATCTGGAGAAATGTCCTTTCCAGAAGCTCCACAACTGCAGATGAGATGAAGTTAGAGCTTTTCTCACTCAGTCTGCTTGGTCTCATCACACACCTCTCTTCCCATCTGCCCTGCGACAAAGCATGAGTCTGGACTATCTTGATCTAGCAGGCAGGCAGAATTCTCTCAGTTATGACCTGGCAACCCAAAAGCAGCGAGAGGGTCGGGGTCAAGGGGTATGTGTCGGCAGGGGATTTTATAATGTCAAGCAGCCAGAGAGAATGCCTCTGCCAGCCAGCGGGCTTCCCCAGATGTGCTGAACTACAACACTCATCAACCCCAGTTATCAGAGGGGTTGCATCCCCAGGGGATGAGAGGGCTTGCACTCCAACAGTCAGAATGCAGCCTAAATGCGTCAACCCCACTGAGAGATTGCACTACTGATTGCGTCCATATCTAGTGAGAGCTCTGTGTGGCTGTGCTTGTTACTAAATGCAGTATGCAGGCTATAGGTTGGAGCCCCAAAGGGGCGATGGAGGTATGAGATGGCAGCCTGATTCAGGCCAAATCATGTGCAAGTTCAATTCAACAATGGAAGCAAAGTCAGTCCAATGAACCAGTCCCACTGAATTTAGTGGAATCAAAGAGCAATTCATTTCCTGTGAATTCAACTCTGAAGCTGTGGCTTTTACCTGAGCTCCTCAGCCAGGAAGATTATCCGTCGTTCCAGAACAGCAGAAGCAAATATCAGAAGGATCTTCTTGGGGCTGAGGCACTGTAAGAGGGCCTGAAATTCCACGTGCTCCAGGTGAGAATCCAGGGGACGTGTTAGCTCAATATGCTGTTGAGAAATAACCAAGACACAGCAGGTTAGAATATGTAGACATGTGGACATTTTTTGCATCAGAGATGCAGCAAGGCTAACATTTTCTTCCTGCCTATTAGGATCCAATGCATTTTAAAATAATGTTAACATACTTTCATATTACATCCCTGTGATGTGGGGATTAACAGGAGGACAGCAAATGTGGATAATGAAAGCCCTTACAATGGCAAAAGACTTTTATTCTAAGCTTAGAAAGACAAACACTTACCGCCTATCATTCAATAGAGAAGAGCTCACTGTTCTTGCTACGTTTGAATACATATCCTACAGCCATCCATCTCAAAGGGATGCTTATTTAGCTATATGGATTGCTTATACTAGCATACATATAGGAAATAGAAAAAGGAAATCCTTTCCAACTCTTTTTCTTCTTTTCATTAAGGGTGATACAAATGATTATTTTGTACAAATAGATTTTATGGTAAGTACTTCCTCCCCCACTTTTGTGGTACCCTTCCTTTTTATTGTTTTCTTGTTAGTTAGTTTTTGTTGGATTTGCAAATAGCTGTGAGATGTTGTATGTTTCTGTGTCCAATTCAACCAGGTGCTGGTTTTGCTCTCTGGAGTTCAGGCTGGCAATACCTAGTGGAGTGCCTCTCCTGATAAAAACCCACTCATGCACTTCCTACCACAGCTGAGGTCCTCTTCCAAGAGAGGTTTGGAGGATGGCAACAAGGGAGAGGGCCTTTTCGGTGGCAGTCCCCCAACTGCAGAATACTTTCCTCAACTGGGATCTACCTTGATTTTTTTTAAAAAATGTATTTCCAATGAGGTGCATTTGATTCCATTTTAAAATAAGCAGTCTTGCTTAGGGATGTGAAAGCCCCCCAAATGGAAAATTTTGGGGGACATTTTTCCTGTGTTTTTCTGAAATATTGGAAAAATCAAACAATGGATTAAGGAATACTTTCTTTGAGAATGAAATACTGAAATACTTTCAGGCTATCCCCAAAATATCTTTATTACCCCAAAATAGTTTCTAAAAACTACGTAATAGATAATTGTGTAAGACTATGTACAGTATCAGATCATTACAATTCCTGTCGTCTGAGATGAAGCAAATCTAATGCAACCAAGTGGGACTACAACTCTCAAATGCAAGTGCAAGGTACATTTCTGCCTCTAGGGGCACTGTTGTCACAAGAGAAGAAAGGTTTTAGTTGTTTTTTTGCTTGCGGGCTTCCTCTTGCCCGTGTAGCTGGCAAGTCCCTTTCCATTCTCTTGACTAAGCCTCAAAGGGCAGGTAGAAAGCACAGAGGAAAACAAAGAACAGAAAAGTTACATATATGAGAAGCAAATGTTTACATTTCTTTCAGTTCATAAAACTGAGCTTAATTTTAATTTCATCAGTTTAGTTCATAACCCTTGGGCAAATTGTAATTTAATGCCTATACATCTGATACTGCATTGCAATCCCCCTCTTCTACAATAGTTCATTCTTCACTGGCAGATTAGCCAATTAATTCTTTTTTTTTTTTCCTTTGACCTTAGCAAAATGGTGAGATCAACATCTAGTATATAGAGGCAATTCTATTATGCAAGTTTTTCTGAGGGGGAAAAACCCAAGTTGCAAATACTATCAAATGAACTATGCATTTCCAAATGCTACAAGAATGCTTTGTATCATGTAAGAAATGTACCACGGACATTAAAAATGACTTACGGATCTAAGTATCGAGGACCATACTGATGAAAGTACAAGTCACTTTTCCCAACATTCTCATTTCAGAAGCCCTCTTTCTGCTGCTGCTTCTACCAGACCAACTTTATTATGAAGAGGCACCCTATCAGCAACAGCATCTTCTAATAAACAAGCACTGTGAACAACTGCATCCAAAAAATACTATGTTCACTGTACATGAGATGACACCAGAAGATCAGGGGGAAATGCCCAGAGCAAGAGCAACATATTCTTCTGGAACCTCAGGGTGAATAACTTGAAAATGCATACCGGAAGGAAGGTATTAAATTGCTATAATATTTGCTCAGAAGCAATTCTTTAATCTAGTCTTCTTTAGAGCTAAAATGTGAGTATTTATAGATTCTGTGCAAGAAAAAAATCAGAACCCCTGCATCTTGTAGTACTTATGGGTGGATAGAAAAATGTGAGGCAAGGAGCAGAAACTTTGAGATAACTTCTCAACCTAAACTTCAGTTTATAGATCCATTGAAAAAGGAAAGAAGAGACACACTGCATATATGTATATATCAGTTGTAAAACATGTGAAGCCCTACAGAAAATCGGGAATGGTAAAGTTCAAGTATTTGCTTTCCTGGCTGACACTGCTGGTAATATGAAAGCAATGGGAGAAATCATAAAGGATAAGTATCCATATTACTGCAATAGAATGTATGTGTCATGGGCTAAACTTGCTTAGTGGCATCATGTTTTGTAAGCCGCCCCGAGGCTTTTTGCGAATGGGGCGGCATAGAAATGTTTTAAATAAATAAATAAAATCATGGAACTGGACATCCTCTAAAAGATCTACAGATGAGCAAAAGTAGTTATAAAATATGTAAAAGCTACTCATAGCAGCAGTTTTCAAGAAGCACCAGGAAAAAAGTAATAAAATAGGAACACTATTCTGTACTAGAACCCAACGGAGTAGATGTCTTCTGGGTTCAACTGCAGAATTTCCTGAAATTTCTTCCGGAATCACTGCATCTGAATCTGACAGGGCACTTTTGGCAAAAATTGCTTACCAAATAACTACTACTTCTAAGAATTTAAGTGTATTTCCATGTACAAGTACAGAAGAAAGTAAAGTGGAAGGTTTTATTAAGAAATATGAAGAATTTAGTTGCCATCTACTTCACGCTGCTGCATTTCACTGATTAAAAGCAAGAGGCAAACATAGGGCATGATGCTGGGAAGCAACTTTCCAATTTTGCAGAATACAGAACCTCTTCAAGGATTTGGTGTAGAAATGCAGTCTGGGATTTTGCCAAACATATCACTTCTGCAACACTTTGTGCAACACAGTGCTGACTCCTCTTGCTTCCACCTACTTCAGAATCCTCTACCTTGTGTAGCATGTGAAAGAAACTGTACTATGATTGGAAATAATAACAACAAATCAAGGAATAATCTGATATATGAATGGGTGCAGATGGTTGTTTCATTCTGGGAAAACAAAGATGAAGAAACAAATGAAGATGAAGAAACAGAAGTAGAAGCTGCAATGGAATAAACTGTACTTTTAATATGCCAAACATGATAATTCTATGCCAAACCAAATTATAAATAAAGAAATTATGCATTTATTTTCCTAAAGTAACAAACTGACTTTCAATTCATAAAGGATGCTAATACTGTATTTTTCTTTTTTATGTCTTTTTTTTTTTTCCAAAAAGTGGGCATTGGGGCAAGCTGGACTTCCAACATTTTCATCCAACTTCTACTATCAGATGGCCCGTTCATGGCAAACTGAGTCCCCTCTGAGGGCACAATCCTGCTTTCTTCCTGCTGCGGGCAGCCTGCCGAGATTCCTGCCACGCCAACCGCACGGCACTGTTGCTGCTGTCTTGAGGCTGTGCCACGTGGTGCTTTGCGAGATGGAGCTACATCTGAGCATCCCTCCCATGAGAAAGGGCCTGCAGCCGTGCCCTTGACTGCCATTTAGCAACAGCAGTACATGCCTGGGCGTGGCCCTCACGATCGCAGTCATGGGATAAGTCCCATTAAGCTCAGTGGGAAGTCCTTCCAGGAAAATGCAGGAAAGATGGGAACTGTGCATCTGCTTCTTCCTCTTCACCTTCTCCTTTGCTCCTCCTTATCTGCATATGGTGGGCTCCATGAGAGAAAGAGCAGGAATACACCCCAGGGCTTTAATTCAAATGGCTGGGCAAACACAATAGTTTAGGTAACCATAAATAACAGTACTGCAGGCAACTTGCTCCAGTTAAGAATGAGAAACTATTTTTTGCCTGACTGAACCAGGCTGTCTCAATGATCTTGTCAAGTTTAACTAGACACGTCCTGACCAACACTCCATTTTGGGATCACGCAGGCTCAGAATAGCTTTTGGTCATGCACAAACATCTCCAGGAACAGACCCTGTGGCTCTCCAAATGCTTTGGCCTACAACTCCCATCAGATCTAACAAGCACAGCTAATGGCAGAGAATCATGGGAGCTGTATTGCAAAATACCGGGACTGCTTACATGTGCTTCTTACCTGAAACCTCTGGCTTCCCCTCCTGCCCCCAGCAATCTGCACAAGCAACAGGCAAGCATACCAACCAACCAACCAACCAAGGGCAGCATAGCTTTCCCTATCCCTCATCTGCCTTTTTTATTTTTAAAGTACAAAACGTACACTTACTCAGTTAAATGCTCAAACATTTCCCTTTTTATTTCTTAAAACAACATCAGTTTTAAAAACATTTCAAAACTATTCTTTGGAGGTGCGGAGCTGAGTTGGTGACACCACACCACAATTTGAGCCACTCAGTGCTGTGCACGTCCTTCTTCCCATGCAAACATGAGAAACTGGCTTCCCTGAGCTTGTCTTGCAGAGAAATTTGATACTTCTATACAAAAGACACCAAGTGCATATCCACTGCACTGCAGATACATTGCTTTTTGTCCACTGTTTCTCCAGTACCCAGAAAGCCAAGTAAAAAAAGCATCTGGTGGAAAGAGATATTGCTATGCCCATTTAAGGATAACAAAAACACACTGATGCTTTTGAGGAAAATGCACTTAGCACCCACTATGTAACTCCATCAACTGCCTAACGCGTTGAGCAAGCCAGGAAATCATACCAAGACTTCATTCTCTGGCAGCCGAAAAAAAGAGATATTTGTACATCACAACAGGAAGTCAAATGTTGCTGGCAAGACAGCACAGAAGATAGAGCAGCAAAGTAAGGCAAGCTGGGCCCTGTATCTTATCAGCAACATGATGGCTCCCCAGGGAGAAGCACAGTGCATGCCAGAAGAACAGGGCTCCTGCATCTTCCAAGGCTGCACAGAAGGAAGTTTGGCAAGGCTGTCATGACAGTGCTGCAGGAGCAAATAAAGCTCCCCCCGCCAGACCTCTCCTTGCATCTATTACATGCATAGGGGCCCTCTGCTGTGTCTGGGCACCTTACAGCAGGCTGGGCTGCTTCTTCTGGTCCAGGGACTAGATGCCCTTCCCAAAGCAAGTTAGTGGGCCAGATGCTGTCAAGCGGGAGAACCACACCCTGAAACCTTGCCCCAACTATAAAGTAATTCAGACCACGTGTTCTTTCTTTTCTCCATACAAAAAAAGGCACAAAGAAAAGGATGTGGCCAGTGCTTGCAGGAGCCAGCAACTGGAGGATGAGTGGCCCAGAAAAAGACCTCAGCTAAGGTTTGCAGGACTTGCTTCTGCAAGTGCCAGCTAAGTCAGCTGCCTCCTTTCAATGCCACTCGCTTCCCAATGGGGTGCATACAAGGGATCTTATCAGGGCTTGCAGGAGCTGGTCCTGAAAGCCCCAGCCAAGTTTGGGAAAATTCAAATTCAGGAGTCAGAAAAGGGGGGGGGGGCAATTTCAGCCCCTGCCTCCTCCCTAAACCTCTAGAGCAGGGGCCTAGCTTGGGAGGAGGCAGCAGCCCATAGAAGGATTGCATGGACTGGATTCTTATGCTTCTAATTTCACTTCACACAGCTTCTCCCAACCTGGAGCTTTCCAAATATGTTACTGACTTATTTACTAGCTGTGACAGAAGCAGCCAAGATGATTGGAAACAGACACAAACCTCTGTCCCTGACTCAGGGATGAAGCTCTTAATGGTGACAGTTTTTCCTGGTGCTGGAAAGGGAGCTTCACGTAGACCCTGCATAAAGGGGTAGATGACTGCTGTAGAAATTTGCCGCCTTTTCTCCACTTCGTCCAAAATCTAGAGGAAGAAAAGGAATGTCAGCCATCCCACAGCAACTTTGAGTCTCCTCCCAGCAGTTGCCTTCAACCTCTGGCAGACTGTTCAAAACAAATAACTCTAAGCAAAAAGCCACATCATGATGTACAAAGCCTTTATCTCCTCTAAATATCTTGGTGCCTGCTCTTCCTGTGTGTGTGTGTTTTTTTACAAGGGAAATTTGCCCTGCTAACCACTCCGTAAAGCAAAGAGTAGCTGAGAGGTGGTGGCCATATGGAGACGGGCAAGGCCTGGACTCGGCAAGCCCAAATAAGTATAAGCTTTTGGTGCCCCCACACAGCTTTGCTCCTCCTCCCTTCACAGAAATGTTGATGCAAGCGAAGATGTTGCATTGAACCACAGCTTTTTGTTACACGTGAACTAAAAAACTACAGTGAGCGGCTTCCAGCAAACCAGAAAAGAAAGCCATTGTTTGAACATGGTTTCTGCATCCTGTTTGCAAGCCATTAGCCATAGTTCCTAAGTCAGATATAACAGGAAGTTATGCTTAATTGCAGCTTCCTGGCTTGTACATTTATGTAACAGAATAACCAAAGCAATGGCAGTTTGTATGCTTCAAACAGAAACACGGCTTAGTTTATTAAACAGAGATCTTTACTAGGTCACTCTTTGCCATATCTAAGTTACTATACTAACACAGTTTTTCTTTCTAATATGAAGGCTGCCCCTCTGTACATGTGCAGAGTACATTTCCACTCATCAATAAGCAACCACAGAATGGTTGACTCCCCTCCCTCTCTCATATGGGGGATCAGTAGGAGGAAATAAATAGAAAGAACCTGAGAGATTTACTCACAGAACAAAAGATGTGAGCCAAATTCATTACTGTATTCGCGGGTAAGCAAAGAGATGGGTATCTCTGTATGTGCTTATATGTGTGTGTGTACATGTAGTGTGCTTGTGTGAGAGGGACAGACAGTCTGGAGCTCTTACCTTTGAAAATAGCCCAAAGCAACCCAGGCAGCCTACAATGCAGTAAACCTCAGGGAAGCGAGCACCTCGTCCAGATGGCTGAAAAATGATGTTGCATATAAAAGTTTAACCACCAGTAAACTTCATTTTTACCTACATATTTATACTATGAATCAAATATCCCCAAAGCAACAAGAATTGTCTTAAGTCACACAGAAGGCCAAGCCCCCAGTTTGCTTAACAAAAATGCAGGGTTATTTGGATTGATCTCTCTTGCTAGTACACATGTTGCCATCCAGGATGGTAAGGCAAGATAGCCCAAATCCACAGACTGGTGCCCTGAAGGCTGAAACACTTTGTCTCCCGCCTTTGCAGATCAACAGACACTCAGCTCTTTGAACACACAGAGCAAACAAGGGCCAATTCTGCATGACCCAGTTCTGTGAAAATTTCCCACAGAATGTGCAACCTGCATTTAACAGCAGGAAGGAACACAGTCTCAGTACACCTACATTGAGCAAAATCTCAAAACAAACCAGCCAAACCCAACCTTTTTTCCCCCTAAATACAGCAGAGTCCTAGCAAGAAAGCAAATCTCCAAACAACATTCCCTTGACACAAAACCTCGTGCGATTCCCACCACCACTTCTGAGACAGGATAATCTAGTATACGTACTTGTACATGGAACATATGAACTGGCAAAGCTCTCTCCCACCACACAAATGAATGTTAGCAGAACCCAACAAGCATTTTTGCAGAGACGAATAGCGCATAGAAGTGTGCCTAGGAATGCATCACCATGGGATTCCTTTTGGAGCTCTGGTGCAACATTACAGCTTTACTGATGAGTAAGTTCCCTTGACCTTAGTGGCACTGGTATCCGAGTAAAACACATCAGTCTCTACTCTGAAATGAGGACACCTCCTGATTGCGCTTGATTTGGGGCTTGTGCACAACCACGGCTATTTCTTTAGAAGTCCACATGACAGGACAGGGGATTTACTCATGAGAAGCCCAGTGGTGATGCAGTGCCCCCTTGTGTGGTAGGGGGAAGAGAAACTTCCTATGCTTCCAGTCTTACTCTAAGGTAGCCTTTCCCACGTTGGAGCCCTCCAGATGTGTTTGAACGCTCTACTTACCTTTATGTCTCCACATAAGCCACTTTTGAAGCCACTTGTCTCCTAGAGGGAGGTCAACTTCCAAAAGTGGTTGGCAGAGGGTGCCCTGGCCCAATTCCCCCCATGGGTGCTGCCACCCCAGTTACATGGGGCCTTACAGGAGATCCCCCTGTTTGTTCTGTGCAGCTGCAGCAGCTGCAGCGGACAGGAGCCCAACTGTGCTGGGAAATGGATGCACAAGGACAGCTCTCCACTTGCACCTGTTTTCTAGCAGAACCATTTTGGCTAAGAAACAGGAGCACAGTGAAACCCTTCCTCACATGCCTGTTTCCCAGCTGAACTCGTTTCCGCTGGAAAAACAGGCAGGTGAGCCCCTTCTTCCTTGTAACAATCATCAGAGGCTTAATCTAATCATTAGACTTAAACCTCACCCTACCCCCTCCCAAACCTAGGTTCTTAAATCATAATCACTGGGAAGAGGAGGGGCTTGCATGTCCAAGCACATCAGTGCAGGTACCCAGGAAGACAGTGTGGCCCCTGGGGGCTTCCAGAAAGTTGAAATTGTGCCCCAGCACTTCCGAAATTGCCTATTCAGGTGCAACATCTGAATATGGCTTCCCTTCTCATGGATCTTTGCAAACTGCCATGGTGTGTGTATTTATTCTTAAGATGACTCACAGAGAGATTCTAAACCTTAGATATTCTTGTGGTTTTGCTCACTTTTGTAAGGGAAACAAAGTGACTCCTGTCATGACTTTACTCCTCAAGCTCTTGGCTTTCCCATTCAGCCTGAGGAAGCATGCACCAAGCTGGTGAACCCACAGAGAGAGGTCACCATATATGGTACAGATATCGGTCTAGAAAGGATGTTGTTGGAGACTAACTCTGTATTTTCTGCAAACCCAGTGCCCCAGAAGCCCCATGCTGGCTTGTTAAAAAGAAAAGGCTGTGAGACAAGGTGGGGGTGTTGGAGAGAAAAGCAGCAGAAGATGAGTAATGCTTCCCCCACTGCCCGCCTGCCATTTCTCCGCTCCAAATCACACATCCCAGCTGCTTTCCTGCTCCCACTGCAATGTTCAAAACAAATATTTGGCATTTCATGGGGAGGAAAGCTATGGGGGGATTTGGAGCAGAGAAATCTGCTCTCTCCTTCTGAGCGTAAAACTCTGCTTCCAGAGTTGCTTTTCTTGAAACATCATCCTCATCAAGATGGTGTGTAACCCTTCATCACACACATTGGTACCACCACCCTACACCCAAGACAGTCTTGTCTTAAAAGGTCAGCCTGTTCTGACTCTCCTGTCAGCCTCTTCAGGACAGATGGAGACATTTACGAAGAGAATGGAGTTCAGAAGCAGTTGGTCCTCCTTTCCCCCAGCTCATGGGGAGGCAGCTGGGCAGAGCACTGACAATAACAGCACCTCTTCCCTTCCACCCCTTGAGGGTTAGGCCAAGGCATTTTGTTAGCTGATGTCACAGTGCACAGAATCAAAGCAGACTAAAAATAATTGGAAATAGATACAGTAGGAGCTACCAAGCTGTTTTGATACATCAAGGAGAATATCCCATAAGCACCTTTCCAGATCCATGATAGCAGAAATGGAAGAGAAACAAAGTGTATAACCAGCCATATACTGCCCTTTAATACTCGGGGCAATTAGGAAGCTATTTCTGTCTCATAAGCACAGAAGTCACCTCCTCCATTGCCCTGCCACCAGTCATAATTTTCTGTTCGGTTGTGAACAAATGGCCATATATGCCAGGTGTCTAGAATAAAGGCAAAATGTTCAATAATGATTGTCTATGAATGAACAATCTAATATGCATGTTGGTGTGGATAGAGGCTTATACAGTCCGTTTCATTCTGATTCCCACTGTGTGGCTGTTTTCTGTATTGCTAATCACACCCAAAATCAGCTGGCTCTAATATAACCAGTGGGTACATTTGCACATCATGCCGATCCCACCCCCCCCACCCCCGCCAGCAATAAGCCAAAGCGGCATGACTGTTTGTGCAAACAACTCATGCTGGGCATCACTGAAGATCAGGCTCACTGTGGCTCTTTCCCCAACCCCTGGAGTTCTAGAGGCCGGGCTTCTCCCTTCCCACCATGAGATCTGCTTGTGATGCACTGTGGAGTAGTTGTTTTTTGCTCCCCCCCCCCCCCGCCGTGTGTGTGTGTCTGAATGGAGAGATTGCAAAAACCAGCTGTACATTTGACCTTCAAAGTCCTCATTTGAACAGCCACTGATGGCTCTCTCAAAATATACATGCAGCATCTAGAGGGGCTGACATTGACTGGAAAATGGACTATTTTTTTAGTGCACACAAGGTACGTTTGGGTTTTTTTAGCTACAGTCAAGCAGCTCTAGGGATGTGTAGTTCCACAACTTCAGATATGTGAAATCTTAAGTGGATTAATATCCTGGGAAAGCACCGAAGAGGGCATTGACCCAAATACACCTAGATACATTTGTTCCTTGTTTCGCCTTCTCTTGACAGCTCACCACAGTGAGCAGACAAAGAAAAGCAGAAATGTGATTAAATTTTGCTTGAGGAAAGAGCTGGTGAGATTTAGACCCCTTTTGCAGCAAGAGACTGATATTTTTTCTTTTTCCCTGAGTCCTCAAGATGATGCAAATTTTGCACTTCTTCCAAAGACTTTAGCTGCTTGGGAAAGTGCACCCCATCCCCAACTGGAATAGTATTGCTAAACATCTAGAAAAAGCCCACACTTTTTCCTCCACCTTAATCAGAATACCTCTCTCAGTATGAAATGAAATCCAGTGTTGTATATATTGAACAAGGTACATATTGTTGTTTCCTCATCAAAAAAGCAAACAACCTAAAGAAAAGATGTTTAGTTGGCTGAATGAGCAAACAGAAGCAAGTACACAAACCTCTGAGAAGAATCAACAAAACAACTGGTAAGCTAGATGGTCAGCTCAGAGGGCATATTCTGAGCATATTCGGTAACCTGGAAAAATGCCCAAGCAAATGAAGACAAAACTCCTACCATCCACAGCAGCTTCCCTGACTTTGGGGCCCCCAGATGTGTTGGACTATAATGCCTATTAGCCAACTTGGCCAGGCCTGGCTGGGTTGACAGGGGGTATAATCCTGCACATCTGCAGGGCACTAGGTTGAAGAAGGCTGGTCTGCAGGTATTAGGATTATCTAAAACACATTCAAAGATCAAGGAAGTGCAAAAGGTCTGTGAAATAAACAGATATTCTGGTTCAGGACCTCAAATTTAAGGAAGTACACAAATATACTTCCTCAAACAAGAGGGCACAAATTGTTATGCAAATGCAATGAGGATAAAACCACTCCCGTTGTGGCAGAGTAAAAAGAAACAACCAGAACCACTTTATGTTAAAAAAAGAACTCATTACACCGACTATGGTGGTCAGATCTAAACAGATTGTTGTGGAGAACTCCTGTTTCCTCTTAACAAAGAGTGGTTAGCAGTATTCAATTTTTGTTCCCAGCAATTGATAAGCAGACAGATTCCCACCAACACCACCTACTCGCTTGCCTGCGCGTGCACACACACACACACACCACGCACAAGCACCCCTTGCAATTCAGAAGTTTATGCTGCTTTTTGACCATCTAAATTATGCAGGGAGCTTCCCTTATTCTCTTTTCATGGCCCAACCACCAAGTCTGACATCCAGTAAGATATGCAGTTTAATGCTTCACACAAGGCTAATCACTCCAGATTATAAAGCAACACTGCTCAGCTAGTAGGCCCCACTCCCCCCAAAGGAAAGTGCTCACAGAAACTGGAAAGTGCTTTTTCAAGGAGAGACAATCCCTCCCGGTTACCTCATAGAAGCTTTTAAACCGTTTACGAACTGGAGGACTATTTCTCTGTTACCAACAGGTATTTGCACATTATCTGCAACTCCAAGCTAGGTATGAAGACAAACTCTCTCTCTTTAGTAATGTTCCTATTTTAAAAAAAAAAAATCCT